TGAATATTTGTTTATAATAGTCTACTTAATAATATATTTAACATTTTTTATAATGTAAGAACAAGTAATTTTTCACATTTTTTTTATAGTTATGCAGTTGATCATTATTTCAAGTTTACCCAGTTAGTTTAGTATTCCAATTTTTTGATACATTTGGTAAAGTAATTATATATTTTATAGAGTTCTAATTTATTCATATTGTTTAGTTTGATTTTATAATTATGAAAGGAATTATCTTGCAGAATTCACGTATATTTGATAGATTATGACATTTTAAAAGTAGATTTTCCATTGAAAGGTCTTTAGCTTTGCACCATGGACATTGATTACTTGAGAGATTAATATAAGTATTATTAGTATAAATAGAGTATTTATTCAATCGTAACTGTGCTATCAGTCTTTTAACATTGAAGTTGATCGGCTTCATTATGTATGGTTGTACGGAAGGTATATTTAGTATTTCCAGGTACCAAGGGTGATAAGAACTTCGGTTCAGACAGTTCAGTTTATAACTATTATTATTAGACTTTTCTTGCAAATGAAATACAATAAAATACACACATTTACTATTAAGATTTTAATGTATGATAGCTGCCAAATAATAAAGCTTTTGTAAAGTCATTTATACATTTATGTGTAATTTCAATTTTATTGTGTGGTGTGACAGTACATTTTAATAGTCTTCAGATTGCTGGTGTATGATTAACTCACCAAAAACAAAACAAGATGGAGGATATCGATCAAGGTGCCACTTTTGTATGGTTAGTGAAATTAAAGGTTATATATTTAGTGTTAGTGTGAACTTTTGTGTTGTGATTGAGAAACATACAGCTTTAGCAATTTAACAAATACCTTCCAAACAGTCGCAATAAAAATTTTTAATTTTGTGTGTTAAATTAAAATATATTCTTGGTAAAAAAATTTAATAAATTTTAATTGTTAATTGATACAAAATATTCAGCTAGCTACTAGTGTATAACTTTTTAATATCCCACTACATCCTTATTTTTTATAAATTATGCTAGAAAACGAATAAAAACAATTGTAATAATAAAATCCCCAGAGAAACCATAACTGCAAACTTTACCCCTTAAGCAAGTTTTAAAAATATCCTAAATTTAAAATAAAAATTGGCAAGTAGGCAAAACTGTAGGCAGTTATGCAGAGGTGTCAAACCATTTTCTCTTTGTATACAAAAGCAAGTGTTCATAGTGTCCATTTTAATCAATTCATTGAAATAAAAACATAGATTCTACAGAAAAAAAATCATTAAACCAAAATGTGGCTATGAGTTTCATCATAAGGGTGCTGCAATTGGATCAAACCAGGTCAACTTCACTTTCTTAAAAATAAACCCCAGTTTTTTTACTGCTTATTATGATTCTACATAAAAAACAAAACTTTCATCTGAAAAAGCTTTATGAAAGATGCACAAATGAAAAGTTATGAGGATTTGAACTTTTATATGGTGGTCACACCATGCACCCCTCTCTAGAGCTGCATTGTTCATTGGAAAAAAGGAAAAAAATACACTCAGAACCACTACTAACATTTCCTCTTAAGAGGAAATGTTAGTAGTGGTTCTGAGTGTATTTTTTTCCTTTTTTCCAATGAACAATGCAGCTCTAGAGAGGGGTGCATGGTGTGACCACCATATAAAAGTTCAAATCCTCATAACTTTTCATTTGTGCATCTTTCATAAAGCTTTTTCAGATGAAAGTTTTGTTTTTTATGTAGAATCATAATAAGCAGTAAAAAAACTGGGGTTTATTTTTAAGAAAGTGAAGTTGACCTGGTTTGATCCAATTGCAGCACCCTTATGATGAAACTCATAGCCACATTTTGGTTTAATGATTTTTTTTCTGTAGAATCTATGTTTTTATTTCAATGAATTGATTAAAATGGACACTATGAACACTTGCTTTTGTATACAAAGAGAAAATGGTTTGACACCTCTGCATAACTGCCTACAGTTTTGCCTACTTGCCAATTTTTATTTTAAATTTAGGATATTTTTAAAACTTGCTTAAGGGGTAAAGTTTGCAGTTATGGTTTCTCTGGGGATTTTATTATTACAATTGTTTTTATTAGTTTTCTAGCATAATTTATAAAAAATAAGGATGTAGTGGGATATTAAAAAGTTATACACTAGTAGCTAGCTGAATATTTTGCATCAATTAACAATTAAAATTTATTAAATTTTTTTACCAAGAATATATTTTAATTTAACACACAAAATTAAAAATTTTTATTGCGACTGTTTGGAAGGTATTTGTTAAATTTGTTAAATTTACTAAAGCTGTATGTTTCTCAATCACAACACAAAAGTTCACACTAACACTAAAGATATAACCTTTAATTTCACTAACCATACAAAAGTGGCACCTTGATCGATATCCTCCATCTTGTTTTGTTTTTGGTGAGTTAATCATACACCAGCAATCTGAAGACTATTAAAATGTACTGTCACACCATACAATAAAATTGAAATTACACACAAATGTATAAATGACTTTACAAAAGCTTTATTATTTGGCAGCTATCATACATTAAAATCTTAATAGTCTGAGTAAATGTGTGTATTTTATTGTATTTCATTTGTAAGAAAAGTCTAATAATAATTATAAAAAATATTAGAATTCATGCAACTAGAATTTTTATTTTATGAAATTTTAAGTTTTCCACATTACTTTTCAATAAATTTCATTTTTTTTCCAGACCTGTTGTCTTTAAAAGTGACATTACAAATAAGTGGTGCATTCCCTTTCCTGGAAGTGACAAAGCAGTCACATCCCGAAGTCAACTTTTTAATTACAATTATAAAAACGAAAGACCGGTAACTAATATTATAACTGGTACTGTATAATTTGATGACGATTTTAAAACTAATATAAATCAATTTTAAATTCAGGTGCAGATACAAACATATTTTGTGACATCATTATTCAATTTATTTTTCATTTTACTGATGGGAATGATGCTTTTTATTTTTTCACGTTTCAAGTATGGCCGAAAACTCTTGGTATCTGTAAGTAGAAGGTTGCCAATTGTCAAATATTTAACCTAATATATTTCGTATAAAAAATTTTATTTTTATATTATCGGTTTTTAAAAAACTTTACACATTTGTTTACAGTTTTACAGTAAATTAAGGCTAAAATCATGAGGGAGAGTCTAGACAGAGAGAATTAATTTATTACTCATAAAATACATTAGGCAGGGACCATATTGATAAGGCTGTTTTTAAAGCAGTCCCTGTCAAATTTATGCACTTTGCCCAACACATCTGCCACTCCTGGAAGATATGCCAAACCAGTCCTTTTGGAACTACCTTCAAATGGCTGTTGATGAACTGAAACACTGACCCTGCAACTCCGATTTCAGATGAAGGAACCAAAAAAAAGTCACATGGAGCATGATTTGGACTGTATAGAGAGTACAGCACACGTGTGTATCAAATTATCAAACATTACATTTGTATTTTCCATGATCAAAGAAGGCTAAGTTTGCTTAGTCAGTAGGAAAGGTAATGGTTTACCAGCATGAAATGCTCTTGCATACAACAGTGTCATATGACAGTTTTGAGGACCTTGACCTAACAAATTGATAGATAAGCCCTGTGGTCCATTCATCTGTTCGGTTGGCACCTACACCACAATAATGTAAGTTCTCACAATGTATGTGGACTGCAAAACATTGAATGTGTGCTTTATCTCCTATACAACCTGGACCTTTCTCCCTGTGGCTTCAGTGATTTGAAATTGGAGTTGTGGACCAGTGTTTGGCTCATCAACAGCCATTATAAAGAAATTGGAGGAAATTCAGCAGACAATGTCAAAAGACTGGTTCCAGAACATGTTCCAGGACTGACAGACATGGTGGGCCAAGTGCATAAAATGCGATGGAGACTGGTTTAAAACAGACCATATTAACTTGGACCCTGTCTAATATATTTCATAAATAATAAATTCATTCTCATTAATTTTTCACTTATTCTTGTATAATGCTTAATTCATTACACCATAAATTGGCTAATTAAATGTATAAAGCAATTTAGATTGAAGGTATGTGATTAAATGAGCTGTTGATTTTGAAAGTGGGACAAGTCCATTTTGTGTAAAAAAATAGTTAATGCTAATTCTTATTAGAAATTTACATAAATTTTATTTTTTTAATCAATTCACAATAAATATCTTATAATATCAGTATAAATTTGTTACTATTAATTTATATCATCAACAATATTTATTGAGAGTTGATTTTGAAAGTGAGGCAAGTTCATTGGCACCTACCAAATCATGATTTTTTTTCACCTAACATGAATAATCATTATTGCCTATTAAATTTACATGAAATGAGACCAAAAAATCATAAAATAAGTCTATTACTGCTTACGAATATTTATAAATCCATTCAAATACAAACCATTAAATATCTAGCAACAACATGAAATGTACTTGACCCACTTTCAAGATCAACCGCTCAAATATTGAATTTAATAATTAGAATTAAATTAATTAATTTAGAATATTCTGGAAGAAATAATGAGTGTGACTTAAACCTACACTTCTGCTTACTGTATGGATTGATTGCCAATTGTACTTCATCCAATTATTTCTTCCAGACCATGTGGGAGTTGTGGGTTCAAATTCTGCCATGGTTTGATTCTTTTTCTCCCTTCCAGAATATTCTAAATTATTAATTGTATTAAAATTTAATAATTAGAATTAAAAATGGCAACTTAATCACTTAGAGGAAAAGGTGGTATTATGGAACCCCTCCATTTCAAACTGATAATAAAGGCGGATTGTGGCTGAACTGCAATAGGCAGACATCCGTAGCAAGAGGAAAACCCATTTCATTTCAGTTAAACGGTTGTCCGTAATGAATCAGCATATTTGTGTTTTTCTAAATTCGCAAGTTTTGAATGGTAAGTGATTTAATTATTTCTAAAATATAAATCGTGTAGTTGCAGGTTTACTGGTGCATGTATTCCACTCCAGAGACTTAGGGATACATATTAATCTGTGTGACATTCATGTTTTTTAAAGTTTGGTCTTGACAGACATTAGTTAATTCAAGATGGCAATGCGTGAAATACGGACCCCATTGGTGCTTTTAATATGGAACCCAACTCCTCCGAACTCTCTCTTTGCAAGCAGACATTCGTCCAGAGCAATTTCTGAAAAAGACATTAGGTAGAAAGCCAATTCTTCCTAAGAATATGGAAAAAGAGCTGCTGGAATACATATTGTTAATGGAGGTCATATTTTTCTATTATAAAAGCATTTTTTTGATAAAATACATTGGAGTAAATGATTTTGTAATTACTTATCATTCTTTGTACTTTCCTATTTGTTTTTGGATACATTAAAGCATTTTTTGAAAATATACAGTAAGATTCCATAATACCACCCAGTTTTCCCTAAGCCTACTTTCTGACTTTTTGTACAGAAGCCTTCAAAAATCATACTTATAGTTATCTAGTGAAAAATCCAATTAGGAACATTTAGTTTAATAGTTACCAGTACTTTTTGCACAAAAAATGTGGGTGTAGTTATGATACCTTGTTTACAATTCACTATAATGAAAATGGGGTTCCATAATACCACCTTCTCCTCTATCATTAGTCCAAATGATTATAAATTTATAGCCATATTAATTATGAGAAATAATAGCATTTTTGTCTTTATCAATATTGCATTTTAAAAATAAATATTTTAATGAATTTTAATTCTGATCAGTTTGATCTTATCTTGCTAAAATAATTTCAGTATCCACATCTGTTTTCTTTTGGTAAGTTTAAAGAAGGGGGTCCTTCAAGACAAGAGGTAATGAATTTGATTTAATATATTATTTTTATTTGCAACAGCTTTCTAAATATCCTCTTATTGTATCAGATTAAGGAATCATCCGTCACTACTGTGTTTTGGGCTGAAGGGTGGAAGGATAAACTGGATGTTGACAAACAGCATACAGAACAACCCAATAAGAATATGAAAGTAATTTTAACTGCACCTGGTTAGTGTTTACTTTTGATTTTTTAAAATTTGATGTTGAATTTCAATTACATAGTTGTTTTTTTTTTTTTTATAGATGCAGCATACATTACTACATCACGCTGTCTAGTCAATGCTGGTGTTGTGTGTTTGAAAGAAAATGAGAAAATGCCCGGAAGGTAAGAAAAAAAAAAAAAATTTAAATTTACTTTGTATCTTTTTATGGATTAATCTAATTTCTACAATTTTATTTTTAGTGGTGGTGTCTTAACTCCGGCAGCTGCTTTTGAAGATACTTCGCTATTGGAACGGTTACAAAAGTCAGGAATGGAGTTTAGTATTATAGAGAAGTAATGACAGACTGTTCCACTGTTCTATTCCAATTCAACAGAAAATATTAACAATTTAAATATATCAAATTTCTGTTGATGGGAACAATTTTTTTATGTTTGATGTTTTGCCATTTGTACTAAGAAATCTAAGTCTTGATTTGTTACCATATGTTAAATCTAGAATTGCTTTTCAGTCAAGCAATATTAATTATTGATTTATGCACATAAGTAAAAATTACCTGTGGTGAAATAAAATGGTTTAATATTTTCATGAATGTTCTCTGTTATATACATATATAGCATTTGTCAATTGTAAGAAATTTAAAGCGCAAGATATAAACTTAGTTAAGTTATGCAAATTAGTGAAAATCGATTTTCGTGTTTGCATAAAAAGTTGTGCCTTATTTTTGAGAGGTGCATGAGTGTTTCATAGGGGGCAAACGGCACTTGCTCCCCTGGAATGGAAAAAAAATTTTCACAAATTATAATTATAAAAATGATTGCTGTGTGATCTTATACTCTAGACCAGTGTTTCTCAACCTTTTTTGGCCATGCCCCACCAAAGCATCTTTAACTATCTGTTTAGCAGTTACTATTTACAGTTCATAGACAAATGTCGCTACTTGTTTATTTATTTTTTCGAAAACGTAAACCTATTATTATTATTATTATTATTACTACAGTAGAGCATTGATTATCCAAAAGCGTTCCAGTTGGCAAATTCAAATTTTCCGTTAGGACATACTCAGGATATTATGACAATCTATAGATATCCTATATTTTCCGAAGGGCCCGAAAACATTGAAATGATCCATCTGCAAATATCAATTTTTCTCATAGTAGTCGGAGTGGAAGAAACATTTTCTGGACCAATTTATTACGTTATCGATCAAATCGTTTTTTGCCTTTTATTGTATTTAATTTTCTTCTTAAACTGAGACTAAATATGGAAAGATTGGGGGCATGAGGTCGCGATTAACTATATACAAATTTCTGGGCTAGATATGAAGACACGTGTTGTTTTCAATTGAAAAATTTTCCCCAGAATGGAGTTACACAGATGACTGCAACTCTGTTATCGGGAAAAGTATGATTTACAGGGGCAAGACACTATTAATTTGATATCGAGAGGATATATTTTACATTAAATAAAATATAATTAAAAATTGCAATCCAGCATTATGAAGATGCCAGAATAATTTTTGCTTGTTTTATAGTTATTTTGTTCTTATTTAAATAATTTTTATTAAACTTTTGATTTTGTTTAGTTGTTACCATGTCTGATAAGCTAAAATATAATTTCACAAACTTTAGCAATTAATTTCAAAAGATGACTTAAATTTTATATTTATGGTTTGATTACTGTACTTCTGTTTTTTTTTCTAACTTTAAATTTACTTTGTATTGCAAAAATAATATAAATATTGTGTTATAATTATAGTTATTTTAATAACTTTTTTATAACTAAAAATAGAAATTTTAATAAAATCTGTAATAATGTACATTGATATTCTTCTAAAACTATTACAAGTTTAAAATAATTTTCTATATGTCTTCTTGATATTAATTTTAATAAATAATCAAATTCTAATAAGTACATTACAGAATAAATTCAACTTATATTGAATCAAATGTATAAAACTAACTCATAGAAGTTATGAATCAATAAATATTATACAACTAAATTAACAATATATAAAAATAATGCAAGTATTTTGATTATAAATATTATTAAATTAAATGTTAATATTAAAATAAAAATTTCATTTAGAGTTTTCTCTTTCTTGCATGATGTCCAAAACATCTCATATAAAAATCTTAATTATAATGTTATTTTATATAGGAAATATCTATTTAAAAACTTTCAATGTTATGGTAAAAGTGGAAAAATATATTTTCTTTTTTAAATATCTTCACGTTTATGTCTAAATTGTATATATCTTTTTCAAAATAATTATTCTCTTAATGCTTGTATAATGTTATACAAAGCTTTAGTTGCATCTGAAGGACCAAATTCTTTTAAAACGTCTTCGGCTCTCTGGGCATAAGAATCCAAAAATGTTTTCGCTTTTTCGACGCCTTCGCTTTGAGAGAATATTGAATGCAACTGTAAAAATAAATGCAAATTAATGAAGAAAAAATTCAAATTAATATAAATATATTTAAGATAAAGAAACTTACAGATTTAAAATCCAAATTATCTACTGAATCTCCGCAGTTTGTTATATACCTTAGTGTTTCTTTGTCGTGTTCTAAGTGGAAAATCGCAGGAAGTGATGTCAAATCAAATGGTGCTCCGGGAGGATAACGATAGGAGTCTGTAAAAGGTTGTAGATCTGAATGAACCTAAAACATGAATTTTTAAAAGATAATTAAATTTTATAGCATTTATTTTATTATTTTCTGAAAAAATCTCTTAAATTGTATTAAAACAATTAAACATTTTCTCGTTTATCATTAAAAATAAATCATATTTTCCAATGCTGAGTACCATACTTTTTATTTTTATTGAAAATTTCAAGAGTTTGAACTGTTTTTCAGATTTTAGATCAGTGTAATAATCCGTATCCTTCTCTTTTCATATAATGTTTGAAACTAATTGAGATCTAAAAGTATTTTTCTGTTATCAATCAACATGCTATTCATTTTGAAATATGCATTGTCATTATTATTTGTTTTTTTGAAGAAATACAGAAAAAAAATCATTCAAGTTAATTCCAGAGAAATAATTTATCAGTATCAGCAAATGTGATGACATAGTCAGTTACAGAAATTTTAAATTCTGTACGGTATATTCTTTGAAATTAGTAATTAAAATAATTACAGTAATACCCCGAACTTATGCGATAGGTGGGACCGAGCGATAACCGCGTAAGTTGGGGTATAATTTCACAATTTGTGTAAAATCCAAGTGGGATGTATGTAAGCTAATAAATGTTCTCGTTAATCTTATCTCGTCTTTTGATTCTTTCACAGTTACAAGAAATCGCCACATAGTCTCTCTAGTCTCTGTAGATATAAATAACACAAAATAAATTGTAGCTATGTGTCAATTCCGCGCGACACGTCCGAACATGTAAGCCGAACAATAGTGTGGGGGGAATGAGTAATCAAGAGTTGCGTGGCGCTCAAACAAAAGACGAATTGATGAGATTTGAAAATCGCGTAAGTCGAGGTATTACTGTACTTTAACTTGAAAAGTGAAAACTTTTAAATTCCGAATTATATATAATAAAATTTTGCCATTTTTTCTCAAAATTTTATTATATATAATTTAAAATTCGAAAATTCCAGAAATTGATTATGTTTGCTAAAAATAATAAATGAATAAATTTTATTTAATCCGTCGTCTTATTAAATTAAAAATTTCATTGGTTCTCCATTGATAAGTAACTCCATATCATCCCTAAGACACAATGACGAAATATAATAGTTTAGAAAAATGTTTTATCAAGCAATAACTGTCTAATTAAAACCAAAAGAATTGTCTAATTATTAGAATATATTTAATGTAGCTATGTAATTAATTAAAGACAAATTATTTAGTATTTACATCATTACCATATTGTAGCCTGAAATTCAGCAGTTTGTTTGGCTTTAACTGTAAACTGGGTTTCTGAGTTGATGTTTATAAATATGATTCCTTAAAAATTATTAGTACTGTATCTTATGGATGATAAAAATTTCATTGATTATGCTTTGATTTAAAAGATTATATAATGAAGTTAAAATATTTAAAATTTTAATATTTAATATACAGTATAGTCTTGTTATATGTAGATTTTCATTTTCACAGATGGCAAATGTTAAATTAACTCTTGAATGAACAAGAGTAATTCTGACTATTAATGCATATGCTGATGTTTTTATTACATAATACATTTGGAGCTGAATGTAATGGTTTTAAAAACCAAAAACAATTTTCTACAGACCACTGTCGAATAAAAAAAAAATTATCAAGATGAAACAAAAGTAGAAGGTTCTAATGCAAACAAAAAGCTACTTTCAAACTTTTTACACACTAGCAGTTTATTATTTTTCTCCCTAATGTTTTTTGATGTCTTTAACATCCATCATTGTTTTATTCTGTAGATATTTTTAAATTGTATGATGTTTTTCTTATCAAGAAGTAGAAGTAGATGCGCTTTTAAACTGATAAATGACTCTTTATGTGAAGCAACATATATTTCAAATTTATATTATGTTCCAAGTTTATATACTTTGTTCATAAAAAGATATTTAAAACTTTTGAAGTGTTCCTTTTTAGAATTTGTGGTTGTCACTTTGAACATTATGTTTAAAAATCTTTGAAATCTTATACAGTGGGTGATCGGTTAACGAACACTTTCGCGAAAGATTTTTATGATCGACAACGAAAACTTCACTGAACAAACAAGAAGAAGCGACATAAAATAACAAATACCGATTGGTCTTCCTTTGTCTTCAGGCAACAATTCAAAACTTTTTGAAGCGTGGGTAATGTTGACATCGACGTTCTACCCAGTATATACTGATCGGATAGTATTCCCCCGAACTTTGAAACTCTCCCTTGTAATTCCAGCCTTTTATATTTCTGACAGAAACAATTCTTTTAAGTTTTCTTCTGAAAATGCAGATTTATGCCGATATCTGCTATTAAAGATCTTTTGAAAAAGTGATGTCAGAACAACGGTCTTAAAATGTCATCCAAACCAGGTTGAGGTTAATAGGCCCAGGGATCTCTACAATTACAATGCTATTAATTACTTCTGAAAAATCCTGAAGAAGAGAGAAAAGCAATCGACATTAGACAGATTCTTTAACCCCCACAAACGGAAAAAACATGACTAATAAAAATGCAAGACCGTGTATATATGTATTTTTATTATTACACATGAATAAACATAGTAAGAAAGTATATATTTTTTATATTTTTGGGGTCTCCAGAACGAATTAATCAAATTCCCATAGAAATCTATGATAAGTCGATAATCGGTTAACGAACAATTCGGATAGCGAACAAAGTCTTGGAATGAATTATGTTCGTTAACCGATTATCCAATGTATACTTTTTTGGAATTTAACTTCCGAGTTTCCATGTAAAGGTTGCTTGACGATGACGACGACCATGTAAAGGTTGCTTGACATTAAAGACATACAAAAACCTTAGTGAGAAGAATGATAAACTGCTGGTATAAAATAGGTTTGAAAGTAGATTTTCCAGTTAGAATACATTATCTAATATGAACACAAAGAAAGCAGAAAAATGTTTTATGCATACAGTATACAAATTATTTCAAAATGAAACTAACACTACAGAACATAACAAAATCAAACTCACAATGGGATGGTAGTGTTAAATATATTTTTATTTTTTCTGTTAATTGTAAATGGTTGCATAAATCTCTAGACAAGCCTTTAGGATTACTTGGAATGGAATACAAATTTATATGGAATTTCATTTTACTCAGTACCTGTGACACAATCAAAAACAAAACCATGTTGTAATTTAATCTAATTTTTTTGTTTTATTGTTATATATATATTATATATATTTTTTTCTTTTAAATTATTATACTGAATTTAACTAGAATTTTTTATATCTGTTATATTTTTAATTTATTGTACTTTGGAAAATCTTTACAGTTTTTGATTTTATAATTAATCAATCTCAATCTAATTGCAAGTTTAAAAAATATTTAATTTCCATAATTTTCTTGTCTTTTCCTAATTTTATTACTAGTTATAACATCTTCAACACTCAAATGTAACTTGTCTTTTTCTCAAGTTTTGTTATTTTCTCATTGATAGAATAAGACTACAGTTCTTTTATGTTTTTGGATTTTTAATTACTTTAGTCTGTTTTGTAGTATAGTAAACAATTGAAACTGGTAATAATTGCTTCAATGAAATAAGAATGCAATTGATGATAGGACTGACATTAATGCAAAAATTTTTTTTATTAATAGAATCAAAGACATATTGATTAATCCAATCAAAAATATTTCCGTTCAGATTTTGATACAGTTCAATTACTAAAAAAAGTTGTTTCAACAGTAAATGAAATTCAATGTCTGTCTTAAATGAACTCTGTTTAATTAATTAATTAACATATATTTGCATTTTTAAATATTCATCTATTTATAGAAGCAAAAAGTTCTTTCTGTATGGCATCCTGGGATCTATCATTTTAAGATTTAACAAGAGAAAATTCAAATGAGTTCTACATTTATCATATTAGTAGAAATATATGATCATGGCTAATTATTATGATGAATTTGTCAATAAAATCATTAGAAATTATTGACAAATTTTCCATTAATTTTTGAGTTTTGAATATATAATTTTTTTATTTTTGTTGATTTTTGTAACCTGAAGAGAGCTTATAAACTAAGCTAAGAATGTTTGTTTTTACTTAAAAATTTATTACTGAAATATAAAGGCTATTTTGTTACAGATTCTACTATTATTTAAGAATACTGTTAAACAATATATGCAAAAAAATAAAAAATAAATAAAAAAGAAAAGGACAAATCTAAACCAAATAAAAAATGCTGCTTATTTTTAAAAGCTAAATAGGTTACCTGCCATGCGAGACCAAGATTTTTTCCAAAATCATATCCATTTTGTTGCATTTTTTCATCATGTCCTGCTAATTCTAATGTTGCTTGACAACTATTAGCCATTAAACTTCCAACCCATAGGAAATTGCGTTCTTCCCATTCCGAAATACCCATTCCTTCTGTAGGTAATGGATTCCCTTGCTTATCGTGATTCCCCAAAAATTCAGCTTGCATAAAATCTGCAATTGATTTTGAGATCAGATCAACAACCTAAAATTTAAAAATAATTATTATATATGTTATATTTAACATAGTTTATTTTTTAAAAAGTAATTAAAAATACTTACTTTACAATTTCGGAGTTCTGCTAGTTCTTTACAAGCATTTGCAAGAAGGTAATCGCCGCTTAAGACAGATATTTTGTTACCAAACTGTAAATCATGTAAAATATTACAATCTGGAATTGTTGTCTGCGAAAGATTTAATATGCATTTGTGAATTAGATGAGCCGTATGGATCATTTCAGTTATTTCGGCTAATGACCGCTGTCTCTGAGAAATTCCTGCACTTCTATCTGCTTCCAGCAGATCTGAAGACGTAGGGAGATGTCCGGCTGCTTTTGAAATTAACAATACTATCAAACCTCTTGTCTGCATATTATTTCTTCCATTATATATTAAACGCCTAGAGAAAAAACAAGATTATTTTAATATTTTTGATGAAATAATCTACTATTAAAATAATAACAATTTTCAAGTTATTTGAAAAACAAAGTTATGAAAATAGTCCATAACAGGAATTATAAACAATTCACATACAAACATAAATGGATAAAACAGTTATGTCTTATTTCCAAATGGAGTTGGCAATTGCATAGATTATGATTAGGAATAATGATTAAGACATTCTCTATAAAGTTGTTTATTGTTTTATTATCTATCTTATTAATAGACTGAAAATGCCTACAAACACCTCAGAACATAATAGAATAACAATTACAGTTTAAATATAAATTTTGTTTTTATTACAATTAGAATGCTATTTAATTAATTACATTATTCTCATATTTTTTTAAAACTAAAAGTCAACTTTAACTTAACTTTCGTCAGAGTAAAATTTTTTCAATAATAATCTTTGTTTCATAGAATTACAATAGGCCATCGATTTAATGGATTAATTGGGAGACGATGTTTGCTGTGCTATGCCAAACGATCGCCATAATTAATCGGGCTAATATTATGCTATAATTAATAATTAGAAAACTGTTTGCTATTGATGAAAGTCTGTTAAGTCGAATGTATTTCAAAAAAAACATCAATAATAAACTCACAATGTATTGGAGTTTGTTATAACAATGTATTAAAGTGTTGTTATAACATATATTGAATAATTTATATTCACTGATTCATCGACTCATTGACCCAACCTTTTAGCATGCTCTATTTGCAAATAAAAAGTTTCTAAATTTTTCCTTTAAGACAGAAATACATACATTATATACATTGAATTGTGGTCCATTAAATTGAGGGCCTGCCTACTGTACATTATAAATAAAGAATTCAATGTTTAACAGGAAAATATAACATATATATATATATATAACTATTCATGTAAATAGTTAGTTGTGGGCTGATATATTATCAATTAGAATAAGGAAATGTATACACTTTAATCAACTAAACCATAATTTTTACCAACAAAAAAATAAAATCTTCAAGACTACATTTTATTAATAAAGAAACATTCTATGTATATCATTTGTTCAAAAAAAAGGGCAAAAGGGCTCACTCAATCCGTCAATAGTCCTGTATAAATACGATATGTATTTGAATGCTAGAAAAAGATAGAACTCAGGTAAGTCATTAAAAAATTAAATGAGCCATTTTGCTCATTTAATTTTTTACGAAATAGTCATAGCACTCTTCTTTTTGATCTCACGACGCATAAGTTACGACAAAGCAGAGAAATCATTTAATCGGCAAATGCATTTACGAGGAACGTCTAGAGTGGCGTTTCTCAAAGTGTGGTAAGCACATTCCCCGGCGTGCACAAAAGGTCTTCACGGGTTACGTGGCAGTTTTCGGCCACATACAACTAACACACAGAATCATTATTAAGAAAAAATACCATAGTAACTAGTGGCACATTAAAGCTTAACGAAACCTAGGCAAATTTGTATTAGGGGACCCCACGTACGGCGTCGACTTCATTTTTCTACAGGAAAATTTACAGGTATCCTCATTTGTGAAAGTTCTGCACCGTGCTTGCACTAAGCCAGCAATCCAAGGTACCCCGACAAGGCACCAAATTTAAATTTCGATATTCTTATTACGGTAACAAATTTATAAAAGATCTGTCCGGGGCTCTCTCTCTCGGCGGGTGCCCGGGAATCGCACTTTTTGCCGACGGGATAACGCACCGCCGACAGTAACAAATTATTTTAAATGGATATATTTTGTACGAATTGTTCTATTCGACTTGCGATTAATACTCCATTTAACTAGCCAAAAAAGTATTTTGTTTTTGTCTTTTGACAAGAGTACTCATCAACGAAAGGAGTAGACAGATGTCCAAACCGAGAAACACCGTCTAGAGGATTACAAGCAGGGCTTTGGAGTCGGAGTCGGAGTCGTGGAGTTTTGGTGTTTTAGCCGGAGTCGGAGTCGTGGAGTTTTGGTGTTTTAGCCGGAGTCGGAGTCATCAAAAGATCCACCGCCTCCGACTCCTTTTACTTACCAACTTGTTATGTATATGAAACGGAGTTGGAGTCGGAGTCGGAGTCGGTAGATTTTTACGCGACTCCACAGCCCTGATTACAAGTTAAAACAATCACCATTATATCTTAGGATATGCAATAATTTAAAAAAGAGTAAACATCTCACTTGGCTGTCTTGAGAAGAGGATGGTTAGAACCAACTAATTTCCTCAGATGTAGAGCAATATTTGATATTTCGTCGCTAAGAAGGCATCTAAGACTGAAGTAGGACGTGGGATAACCGACGATCTTTTCCGCATCAGAAACTGCTCTATTCCAATCTAATGTTTTCGAGGTCGTCCGAGAACTTATAGAGCTATTTACTTTTTGAAAAAACATCAAATCGAACGATCTCACATATCTATGATTAGCNGTATTTTATGAAATTCTATAATTCTGTTATTATTTTTTATTTCAAGTAAATATATGCAATAATTTCAACTCCATGCAGATTAAATCTGATATCAATAAGCACTATTTATTCCATTACAGAAAGCAAATAGACAAATATCTATTAAGAACTAAACTTTATAATTCTCTATTTCATATTTCTAGAAGATCCATATTTTTGCATTCAGAATCCTTCAACAGATGAGAAATTCAACTTTTATTGACTCTTTGCAATTATCTTTATCAAAAAATTTTTCCAAATTGAATTCAAAATTTTTAGTTTGACTCAATAGAAAAAAGTTCATATCAATTTAATGTAATATCTGTGTAAACCAGCATTGCACAATATCAAAATTTTTTCTGTTTTGAATGTGTTTTACAAGTTAGTTTTTTTTTTGAAAATACTAAAATGTATTGCAAATGTTTATTTTTATAGGAAAATTACTTTATTATATATGTAAGAAACATTTTATTACAAGGTTTAGTCCAATTTTTTTTAAACTTTCTTCACCATACTTTCTCTATCGTTCTTCTATGTTTCTTTTAACAGTTTGGTGTTGATATGATCATGAAAAGTGTCTTCTTCCTAATCTAATGGAGCTCATACATGTTTTAAAACTGCAAATTTGAAGATTGCACACAACAGACAAAGCTTCTAAAAAACTTATCATCTTTAGTTGTCTTTCTTCTGCATTATGTATACCTGTGATTCTCAACCACTGTGCCGTGGCACTTTAGTATGCCACGAGATTTTTGAAGTGTGCCGCCACTATGAATATCCATACATAAGTGATGTCAGACAAATAGTTTAATCATTTCTACCTTCCTAGGGCGTGTTTGGACTGCCAGTAGTTACCAAGACGTTTAGAAGATGTGACCTAAATAACCGTGTTTAAAAATCATTGTTATGGCTTCACCAGTTGTCCTGCAGTACTTGCCGAAGTAACCGTGTGTGCCACCAAATTTTGAATTATTATAAGTGTACCGTGACGAAAAAAAAGGTTAAGAATCACTGATGTATACCTTTTGCTTTTGCTTTCTTCCATTTCTGTGTTTCCAATAATATCCAATGCTCTGTCAATAAACTGAAGTTGCAGGATCATTATCAAATGTAATACTGTTGACATTGATAGAGAAATTTGTTTTCAAAAGAGTTGTAATCTTTTGCATGATTTACCAATGTCTATTATGCTATTTTCTTCTCTAGAACTATCATCTACCGGAAACTCAGCTTTAATGAAATATTTTTTGGACAGTATCAGGAAAATCTTTTTCTTTGTCTGGTGTAAGTATTTTTCACAAAAATATTAACTATTATTAAACAGTAAAATATTATAATTTTCTGGCAACATTTGTGTGTAACTCTCAGATCTGTGAACTAACAGATTATTGGATTTTTCAAGATTCATTATCTTACATAGATATTAAATGAAATCCATAAAAAATTTGTATGTAAGATTAAACATGGCGTCACGCTTGTTGAGAAGAGGTGTCGATCATCTGAAGAGTAAAGAATTTAGGGAGTATTTATGCAGGTATTTCTCTGTTTATATATCGCGCTGTAATATTTTCTTGTCACGTAACCATGTGAATAATGAAAATCATTTTTTTATTCGTTCATTTAATATAACCTCGATGACCCTGGCCTTGGAATTTGGAACTGAAGCACGGTAAGTGTATTGGAGGAAAACTTGTATTTATACAAATGCATGTAATCGGGGCAGACTCGAATGGGGATTTTTCGGGCCACAGATCGGAGTCTTGCCCTCGGAGGGGTCCCACACTTTCAAATTTCTAAAAAAATTTTTGATGAAAAAATACATTTTGTTTTTTTCTCAAATATTTTGGGGCCCACTAATAACTTTTCCCCCAGGGCAGGAAAAACCTACAGCCATCCCTGCATATAATTACCATAAACATAATAGAAATTTCTGCAAATTAATGTAGCAGACCTACCAGTGGCTGAGTGGATAAAAACACCAATCACTGGTAGTTTTCTTTACGTTTACCTAACACCTAAATAGGAGCCAGTTTTCCGTGAAAGACCTTCCGGGAGACATTTTTCCCTCGGCACCCGTGTGTCGCCATGCCTTACGCAAATAAAACTTAATTAATGGCAGATGAGTACCGTAGATGATTTGGAACCTTTTTTTTTTTTTTTAATTTTTAATTTCTGTAATATAATAATGGTACTTTTCTGTTAATGGGAGGCCAGCTGATATGTACAGCAAGGGGTAAGACTGAAGTTCTGAATGAGCGGTTTTGCACCACCCCCAGAATTGTCATCTTTTGCGAGGTATTCGGCTCCAAAAGTCAGTTTTTAACGTGTATCAGTATACTTCCTATTCTACGTGCTTTGCATGTAGTTGTGCACTTTGGAGCTTGCTATAGCTAACATCTCGGCGAGCAATGTTATATAGTTTTAGGGGGTGGGACCCTGCATCCCCTAAAACTATATAACATCAAGTACTCCACAAACAGTCAAGTGAGCAACTCGAAGCTGGCACAGTCATGTGGGCCAAACAGTTCACTGTGAGTCTTAGTGGAGCAATGCAGACATCGGTATTGCATGTCGGATTAAAGTTACAACTGGCATTCCATTAACAGAAAAGAACCATAATTAATTTTATTCATTTGATTCCATGTTAAAATCTTGCTTAAATTTTGAATTGGAATTTGTCCAGTTTTCCATGTGCTCATTATTACATGTATCAATAAAAATTAGTTTTAATTTGTTTATCATTCCAGTTCTTTTTTCTTTCTCATTTTCATGTCCAAATGTATCATAAGGAATTATTGATGCTTTATGTAGGGAATAATTGCTATAACTAGATTTGCTTTGCTTCATGACTAGATGCAATTACCACTAACTTTCTTTTTATCTGTACTTATCAGTGGCCAGAGACACTAAGTTTTAGATGAGGAAAAAACAGCATCTGGTATTCCATGCCCCCTCTGACTGGAATACTGTTCACGAGCTTAACTTAATGCTATGTAAGCCTATGCAACTTTTGTTTTGTCAGATTTCAGGGATTGACAAAATCTGGTGTTTAGCAAGGCTGTTAAGTGGGGGAGCTGAGGATTTTCTTCTTGGCCCATAGTGATTCTTACTCTTGTATATTAATAATATTTTTGTTAATAAAGAATCATTATAGTATTTCATTTATTCAAAAAAATGGCAGGAGGAGGTCTGCTCTATCCTGGACTTCATACAAGTCCTCAACAGCCCTTGTGTTTAGTGAGGGCTAATTTGATCATTCCAATAGAAATAGATTGCCATTGGTTTTTATTTTTTAAATTTTAAACACTGTTTAAAATTACTTTCTCTTTCTAGAGATTTTCATTATACCAAATTATAAACTGAATATTTCATTATATAGCATTATCATTTGTTCTTGGCTTAGCTTATCTTATTTTCATTAGTATAACAAAACATTAATGTAAACTTTTTTGTTTGGAATGGAATTTAATCTGATTCTGGTCACATTGCTATTTGTAATTTCAATAAACTATTTCAGAAATTTTTTTTCATTCAAATTTATTTTATATTTGGCCATGCCAATTGCATTTTTATTCCTTTCAAGTCAAATTTTCAATAAACAAAGCATTTTCTTATATTGAACTTTTATATTATTATTATTATGTACTTTTTTTTTTAAGAATAAACATTTTTGTTTTAATAATAGAGTTGACTGGTCCAGTTATGAATGAAGTTTTCCTTATTTCTTAATTTTCTTCAATTTATTTTAGGTACTGTACATGTTTATTTCCCCCTCTTTTATTTGTTAATTTTTCCTGCAACACATTGTTTGCAGGATACTTAATTTTTGCATATAACTATTAATTCAAAGATTGCCTTCTATGTTTAATATTGCAAACAAATACTTCAAGGAAGTAACTTTAAATAAATAAAAACTTATATTACATTTTGAATCAATTGAAAATTTTAGTGCACTGACAATATATATTACTGTAATTCGGGTAAATAATTAACAAAACATCTCACTTAGTGACTTGTTCATTATATACTGTTTATGATGAAGGATTCATATACAGTAGAGCCTCGAAAACTTGGCACTCGATAACCCGGCACTCCGGATAACTCGGCAACACCCTGGCAGGGCAAAAAAATCCTTAGTTAATTAATTTTCATGATAAAGACAGCTTTATTCCTCATAAAGTATTTTTCTGAGGTCTGTCTTATCAGGTAAATTACTGTACACAGTGTATTCATTAATTTCACTTTCATGTAGTAAAGGCTCTATAAAAAACGTACTTTTCCTTTGTTTAAGGGTATTCGGGCAGTTTATTCTCTGTTGTATTCTCAAGTAAACAATACATACAAATACAGTACAGTATTTTCTGAGGAAACACTCATACTTATTTTTTTAACCTCATTCCCGATAACCCGGCATTTTCACAAACTCGGCCACCCTTCGGTCCACATTAGGCCGAGTTTTTGAGGCTCTACTGTAGTAAACAAACCACTAAGTGAGGATGTTTATCTATACTAATATTATAAAGAGGTAAAGTTTGTAAGTTTGGATGTAGGAGGTAATCTCTGAAACTACTCATCCGATTTCAAAAATTCTTTCACCAATACTTAGAATGGAACTTCGGGGTGGACATAGGTGTATATTATTCCATTAAACATCCATATAGATTAAAAGATATCGTCTAGGATTAAGGCCTTTATGTCCAACAGATGGTGCTAACTCTGCGAGTATGATGACCTAAGTTTGCTTTTCTGTGAAGATGAAGTAAAGCAGATCATCTTTTATCTGTCAATATAAATAAAAAAGTAATGTTCGTTTGTTCCTACCGATTCCTTTGAAATTTTGATACAATGTTGCATTCAAATATGCACGTTTTTATATAATATACATGTCGAAATTCTCCCCACTGGGGGGAGATGGACAGGATTAAGGCTTACCGTGAAGAACTCTGCTTCTATTTATACTATTTTAGATGCAGTTTTTTGCGTTTTAATAGGATATGTCAACAGAGTATACACTAAAAAGGGATTTTTTGAAAATTCTCCCCCCACAAGGGAAGTGTGTTATACATTTATAATACTGTAGATACATTTTGAGCCACAACAACGCATAGCAGGGTCTGCTAGTAATATATATCAATAGGGTTATTAAATTAACATAATTATTATTGAATTATTTTGTATATGAGTATTTTGAGTATATTAATTTGCATTCAAATACTGTAATTCTGTTACAATATTTATTGTCCAAAATAGTTTAAATGTACCCAAAACTTTTATTTTGGATACATTTAAACAAGTTTCTGGATTATCCAAAGTTTTGTTCATCTGAAAGACTTCTGATCCTATCAAGTTCAGATAATAGTTTTTACTGTAATGTAATTATTTATAAATGGTAATATATATACAGTAGCTTCTTGTTATATCTTGCAACATGCAAGATAAATGAGTGATACATCAGATGGTGTGATATAACCAATGTATCTATCTATCTGTTTTGTATATTTTTGATCTCTATGCTAACTTGCTTTTTTTGTGGCTCATATTTCACACAATGGTAATTTCAATGTCAATGATTGGAATAAATTAATATTTTTTTTCTAGTAGAAATTTAATGGGGACTAATTTTTAAAAAATTATTGGCCAAAGTGCTTTTATATTTGGAAGACCAAAAAAAAAACAATATATTCAAACGAGTGATATAATGAGGAACAATAAAAGCAGGAGCTACTGTAGTATTATATATAATTTAAATTATAAAATTTTTATATTCTATTTATTAATGGACGAATAATATATATATGCATTTAATTTTATTTTAGCATTTTTGGGGACCTGGTAAGTTTTTATAAATATTGTGATTAAAATTTTTTTACATATATATAAAATAAAATTAACTAGAAATATTGAAACTATTTTACAGTTGCAAATTGGGGAATTCCACTTGCTGCAATTGCGGATTTCAAAAAAGATCCAACATTTATTAGCGGAAAGATGACTTTAGGTATTTTAATATATTTTATTAAAGTTTTCTGGACTAACTTTTATTAATTCAGCCATTAAATATTTTTTCTTTTTAGCATTATGTATATATTCATTACTTTTTATGAGATTTGCTTGGAAAGTACAGCCTCGAAATCTGTTATTATTTGCCTGTCATTTTACAAATGAATCTGCACAAATTATTCAAGGCACAAGACTGATAAAACATGAGTGAGTTAATTTTTAACCATGTTTTATATTAAAAAAAATTATAAATTTTTATCTATTAAATTTTTGTTTTAAATTTCAGATTCTCATCTGATAAACAGAAAGTACAACTTCAAAATTAATTAAATTATTAAGTTAGATGATGATGATTTGTTTAGTTAAATTAATTTAGATGATTCGTGTTTGATTGATATTGAGAAATCAATCATAAAGTTATCAATAATTGTAAGTAAGAAATGTATTACAAGAAATTTTTGTTCATTATTGTTTAAAATACAGAAGATTAATTTTTTTTTTTAAATTTTAACTTGTAAATATAATAATAAAATAGAAAATAAATGAATAAGCTTTGTTTGACTTGAATATTTAATCATTTTTTATGATATCTTGAATCAATCATTTAGAACATTATTATTATATAATGTTTATACGGTAAATATTGCATATTGATGTTTATTATTTTAATTATTTTTAATATCTCATCTGCATTTTCTTTGTTTTTGCTTTTATAATTTATAGAATTCATGACTCTGAATCTAAGGAATGATGATAAATTCTGAAACTTTTGAATTGGCATTGTTAACAATATTAATTTGAGATCCACTAAAATATTAATACGATTATCAAAAATATCAATAAGATGATAAAGAAAATATATTTCAAGTTTATATTAGATTGTTTTCATTTCTTAACATTTATTAATGCAGAAATATTAAAAATAAAAATTTAATGTCAAACAAATATATTAATTTCATCACATACAGATGATGACATACCATAATGAAATGATTAATTATCCTATAATTGATTAAAAAAATAGAAAAAAAAAACTAAATTTTAATAGCAATATTTTATTAAGTTGAGTGAAAAATTGTTATAGATTAGGTTTTCAATAACTCCACATTTGAAAATTAAAGAAAGCAAATTGAATCTGAAACAGAATGAGACTTAGGTATAAAGTGATGGGACATAAAGAAATTTTGTACTGGATAAGGTAATTATTTCTCTCTAACTTTTTAAAGTATTTTTTGAAACTATATTTCAATATTTAATTATTATGTTTTGTTTTTTCAAATTTAGTTATGAGTAAAAATACTGCAAGAAAGTTATTAACGTATTGAATCAAGACTATCGGCAGCAATAAGTAGTAAGTTTTTGTTTAGCATGTTGATTGATTATATACTGTATTTTATGAAATTCTATAATTCTGTTATTATTTTTTATTTCAAGTAAATATATGCAATAATTTCAACAACTCCATGCAGATTAAATCTGATATCAATAAGCACTATTTATTCCATTACAGAAAGCAAATAGACAAATATCTATTAAGAACTAAACTTTATAATTCTCTATTTCATATTTCTAGAAGATCCATATTTTTGCATTCAGAATCCTTCAACAGATGAGAAATTCAACTTTTATTGACTCTTTGCAATTATCTTTATCAAAAAATTTTTCCAAATTGAATTCAAAATTTTTAGTTTGACTCAATAGAAAAAAGTTCATATCAATTTAATGTAATATCTGTGTAAACCAGCATTGCACAATATCAAAATTTTTTCTGTTTTGAATGTGTTTTACAAGTTAGTTTTTTTTTTGAAAATACTAAAATGTATTGCAAATGTTTATTTTTATAGGAAAATTACTTTATTATATATGTAAGAAACATTTTATTACAAGGTTTAGTCCAATTTTTTTTAAACTTTCTTCACCATACTTTCTCTATCGTTCTTCTATGTTTCTTTTAACAGTTTGGTGTTGATATGATCATGAAAAGTGTCTTCTTCCTAATCTAATGGAGCTCATACATGTTTTGAAACTGCAAATTTGAAGATTGCACACAACAGACAAAGCTTCTAAAAACCTTATCATCTCTAGTTGTCTTTCTTCTGCATTATGTATACCTGTGATTCTCAACCACTGTGCCGTGGCACTTTAGTATGCCGCGAGATTTTTGAAGTGTGCCGCCACTATGAATATCCATACATAAGTGATGTCAGACAAATAGTTTAATCATTTCTACCTTCCTAGGGCGTGTTTGGACTGCCAGTAGTTACCAAGACGTTTAGAAGATGTGACCTAAATAACCGTGTTTAAAAATCATTGTTATGGCTTCACCAGTTGTCCTGCAGTACTTGCCGAAGTAACCGTGTGTGCCACCAAATTTTGAATTATTATAAGTGTACCGTGACGAAAAAAAAGGTTAAGAATCACTGATGTATACCTTTTGCTTTTGCTTTCTTCCATTTCTGTGTTTCCAATAATATCCAATGCTCTGTCAATAAACTGAAGTTGCAGGATCATTATCAAATGTAATACTGTTGACATTGATAGAGAAATTTGTTTTCAAAAGAGTTGTAATCTTTTGCATGATTTACCAATGTCTATTATGCTATTTTCTTCTCTAGAACTATCATCTACCGGAAACTCAGCTTTAATGAAATATTTTTTGGACAGTATCAGGAAAATCTTTTTCTTTGTCTGGTGTAAGTATTTTTCACAAAAATATTAACTATTATTAAACAGTAAAATATTATAATTTTCTGGCAACATTTGTGTGTAACTCTCAGATCTGTGAACTAACAGATTATTGGATTTTTCAAGATTCATTATCTTACATAGATATTAAATGAAATCCATAAAAAATTTGTATGTAAGATAATTTGTATTACAACATTTAATATTAATTAAATTATTAATTTTCAGTAATAATAAATTATATTGACTTTGAACTACATGATACTAGATAGAGATCAGAACAAAGGCAGAAAATACACAGGGTGTCCAGAAAGGATGAGTGCAGTTTAAACATGTTCAAAGAAAGTTTTGTTTTTATTTTTAATCTACAGTTATTGGAAAATTATTTACTGAAAATTATGTTATCTAAGTGGCGTCCATTACGCTCCTGGCACTCTTCTAATCTTGAGCAAAGATTTCTCGGTACACGTTGACACAAAGCCTGAGATGCCTATGCTCATTTCTGCTGTGATATTCTGCTTTAATTGAGTTAATGTCCTCGGCTTATTTTCGTACATCCTCTCTCTAAGAAATCCCCATAAGAAATAGTCCAGAGGACTCAGGTCTGGACTGCGTGATGGCCAGTTAACATCACCTCTTCCCGAAATCAGCTTATTGGGGAATAATTCCTTTACTGCTTCAATTGATTCATGGCTTCAATACAAGAACATGGTTTCAACAGGATGGCATCACTTGTGACACATGAAATGAATCAATTATTCAACTGTCAGCATTAAATCCAAAACTACAATTATAGGTTTAATTTTTTTTCATTCTCTTTCTAATGACATAAAATACTCCTAGAATTACAAAAATTCTTTTTTAATGTGTATTTTATTATTGTTTGATTCAAAAACGCAAAAATAAACATATTAAATTTAAGAAACTCGCTGTAAATTATCTCAAGGTACTGTACAGTACATCGATTAAGATCGGCATCTCTTCTTGATTTTTAAGTCAGTCAAATTACAATGTTATTTTATTGTACTCTGAAGAATGTTTTTTTTTTAACATCTAACAAAACTAGTTGTTAATTAAATCTGATTAATTTTATATTTTAGTTCAGTTTAATCGGCATGCCAGTAACCCCAGAGTGTCTAGCGTGCTGATCTGTCCCGTTTTTATGCAGCATGCCGATCATTCTGTGAAAATACGGTATTCTTCATTAAATAATAGGTGGCAGATATTAAAAAGCATCTCCTTTCGATGCCAAAACCTCTCAGAAACACTGGGATTGTAGATTAGATACCGTAAAAGTGATTCGTTTGCCGGTTAGCTGGAGTTAGTAAAGCTTGAAGAGGAAGTTTCTACAATAGAGTCCCAAATTCGAGGTTTTCCTAAATCCAGTCCGTTAAATTAACATTTATTTATTATTATTATTTTTTTAAATCGCAGAATCTCTTAATTAAATTTAATTAAAAGTGTTTTGCTAAAGCCGTTTGCATATTTATTCGATTTAGATGGTATACAGTCGACCCCCCTATAACGCGGGTTCATATAATGCGGATTCGTATATCGCGGCGAAAAAATTGCGACCGTATTCGTATAAAGGCGGTAAAAGAGACTCGTAAAATGCGGTAAAACGTCATCGCCGACTCGTGTCGCGACAGGATTGGTCGAATCTGGACCAATAGTGGACGAGCAGCCGAACTACTTACACGCTAAGGAGAGTTTAGGCGGGTAAGTTGAGTTTACTATATATACAGTATATAGTAAACTATCTGTACAGTATATAAATTAGGTACTGTAAGTCTAATACAATACTGTAGTTTATACATTTCTTATTCAACGGCCATAAAAATTATTTCTATTAATGATGTCTCAAAGTTCAGCGAATTTTTTCGCAGAAAAATAACTTGTCAGAAAATGCGGCCGCCGTTTGGTGCGCTGCTCCACGACGAAAACAAGCTTAAGCAATGGCGTCGTCGAACGGTGCACACTCGGTAAGTAATCCTACAATTTTTTGTTTATAGCATAGTTTATACAGGTTATTCCCAAAAAATTGTACGTGTTTTCGAAATGTTGAGTCAAATTAGTCTAGAATCGATTAATTTTATGGAAGAAAACCTTTCAAACAGCAGTAGTCCGTAAACTGCACACGTGTCGGGCTGTGATTGGTTCATGTATTTAAGGATTCCTACAATGTGAAACTCTTATAAAGTGGAACGTATCTACCGCGTTATAGGGGGTGTCGACTGTACTTGTTCTCAGAACTACGGCAAGTTGTACATAAGCAATAATACATATAGAAAAGTTTTCTGTGACGTTAAACATTTCATACGTACTTCATTTTAATTACGCGCGCGTGTTTACATAAGTAAAAAAACAGATAAACTGACTAATCTGAATTTTTTTTTAACAGGCTCATTCGGAAAACCTCGCCCGAATTAGTCCGTCAAATCGAAGTTTTATTGTATTAACATCATAAAAAATTAAAATCTGAAGTATTTCCAGTGATAAAGCTTACTACAAATTCAAACGTATATTAATAAGTCTAATTTGGTTCGAAATTTTACGCTATATTAACCTACTGACTAGTAAAATATCTCCAAAAAAAAAGTGGAATTCAAATAACTAATTTTAGAACACTTAGAGCAACTTTTTGATTTTTTTTTTAATTAAAGGAAACTTTGGACAACGCCCAGAATCTTTTTGTATAACGAGTATTTAATTTACTCCCACATTAACAACAAAAAAATCACCCAATTATCTTAATATAGGTTTTGAAAGTTCTATATTCAGCAGTAGTAAATTCTGTAAAAATTTTAATATGATGCCAGACTAAGAGCATTTTCACGAAAAGGAAAAATTTGGATTATGAGAATAATGGTTGAAATGGAGATGCTAATGAAATGTAAAATATAAGTAATCAATATTTTGCAATTACCTATTGTTTTGTTAAGGTACGGCAACGCAACACTCGGGTAATCTGCCTGAGGGGAGGTCTTTTTAAATGTAACTAGCTCCTATTTATGCGTTACAGACGTGGAAAAAAATCCGGGAAACCACGTGGCCAGCCCGTCCTGGCAAAGCGCGAACCCACGCCGAACTCCCAGTGTTCAGGGAAGGAACCGCTTGGACACTGGTGGCAGACAGAGCCGGCCCTACCATAGGGCGAACGGAGCAGCCGCTCCAGGCGCTAAGTCCTAGGGGGGTGCCTCAGTGGAAAAAGAAAATTAAAGGGTATAAATTAGGGGCAACTAAGGGGGCGCCATAATAGGATCTCGCTCCATCCTAAAACTTGCCTCGGGCCGGCACTGACTGGTGGGCCTATACATTTAATTGTTATAAAGTAATTATAGCTGTTTGTAAAAGTCATGTCATCAGGAAAATACTAGAAAATATTTTTTTTTTCGAATAAAAATTGCAATAAGCATTTTCTGCATGCGTTCATAATTCACGTTTTGTAATGGGAAACGAAGAAAGAATAATTTAAAAGCGATTGGTCTGAATTATATCCGGAAGGTTTTACCTAATGTGAACGAAAATCTGATCCACAATGACGTTGGTAAGCTGAGAATCCGAATCCGTTTTCAATCCGGATTACTGACGATTGGGTGTGCGATCGATTTACGTAAACAAAATTATTTTTGAGTGAGAACAGTCTCGTGCTTCTAAATCATTAACGAATCCAAAAGAAATGCAAAATCTAACCTAAAATATTTTAAAAATCATTGTCGTGCCCACCAGTGATCGAGTGATAAACACTTGGTTGTGTTTTTGAGCCTGGTCTACGGGCTGGTCACATGCATGGTTACGGGTTTTCTTCACGTTTGTAACACCTTATTAGAGACCAGTTTCTCATAGAAAGTTTTGCTAGTAGACGTTTCCCTTCGGCAGATTGCCCATATGTAGTGTTGTCGTAGACAAATAAACCAAACCACATTCTCTGGGTGACCCGGGATCGAATCTGGACGGGTCGAAAAATCGCCAGGAATTTTTCGGATGGTGGTTCTACCGGATATGTCGGCCTCTGTCCCTCACCAACAGTGCCGGCCCGAGGCAAGTTTTAGGATGGAGCGAGATCCTATTATGGCGCCCCCTTGGTCAATAGCGTAGCGAACATAACTGACGCTCGGAGCACGACACTTTATTGGCGCCCCCCTCCAGAAACACATATAGTTTGTTTTGGAGACCATTTGGGCGCCCCTCTGCGAGTGGCGCCCGGTGCTTGATACACCCCCTTGCACCCCCTCGCTACGCCACTGCCCTTGATTGCCCCAAATTTATACCCTTTAATTTTCTTTACCACTGAGGCGCCCCCTAGGACTTAGCGCCTGGAGCGGCTGCTCCTTTCGCCCTATGGTAGGGCCGGCTCTGCTCACCAATGTGGGTCTGGCCGAACCCATAATGGGCTTGCTAAATGAGGCCCTCTTAGGAAATAGGACGGAAAGTGACAAATCTTGGGAACCTTTATAGATGGTCGGCCCGTTTCTCAACATCTGGCTGTTCCATTATGGACCCGGTCGAATCCGAAATTAGTATGATTAGAAAAAGCCTGCTTAGTGCTCAGAGAACAGAGAGTGAAAATGAAAAAAAATTACAGTAGGAAATTTTATTGAACAAAAAACAAGCATTGGCAAAAAATTTTTTAGTTTCATCAAAATAATTACAATCAAAAAGTCTAACAAACAATTTAGAAAAATAAAATTACAAATACAAAACAGGAAAAGTGACAGTCAATTTGTTTTTTGTCCTTCTAACATTGCTATATAATTTTATCTACATCAGGGGTGACCTAGGGGCCCTGGCACACTTGAAAGTAAAAGGAAAACAACGCTAGTAAATTCTCCAAATTTTTTTTCTTAAAATTCATTTTTTATTGATATTATTTCGTGTCTTTTATTATAAATTAGCGGTCATATAAGATAGGAATTTTATTGAATTCGCATTAAATTATTTTTTATCTGATTACTTCGACTCCTTCAATATTAAATTTTGAGTGTTTCACTGACCTACATTATAAATAACCTTCAATTTTGATATCAGTATGTTTTCCATGTCTAATTTTAGGATTTAGGTTAATCCAAAATTTTACGGAAGTAAAAAAAAAAAAAAAAAACAGGTATTTGTCGCATAGTTAATCTGCATTTTCGTTCTTTTTTCCAACGTCCCGCATACAGATTTTCGGGGTTTCTTCACCATATAGGAGCCAGTTTCCTCGTCGTCCTCCCGGAAGGCTTGGTTTTGGTTTTTGTTTTATTCGACAACGCGAAACATTGGAGATCTGCCGAGGGTGGGATGCTTCTCCGGAGGACTTTTTATGGGAAACTGGCCCCTATTTAGGTGTTACTAACATGAAGAGTTAAAGAAAATTCCACGTGGCCAGCGCGAATCCACGATCAGCTACCATTGTTCGATGGTTTTATCCACTCGGCCACTGGTGGCACCAGGATTTTGTTTAGAATAATTCTTAAACTGCTTGTAAACNGCGGTCATATAAGATAGGAATTTTATTGAATTCGCATTAAAATATTTTTTATCTGATCACTTCGACTCCTTCAATATTAAATTTTGAATGTGTCACTGACCTACATTATAAATAACCTTCAATTTTGATATCGGTATGTTTTTTATGTCTAATTTTAGGATTTAAGTTAATCCAAAATTTTACGGAAGTAAAAAAAAAAAACAGGTATTTGTCGCATAGTTAATCTGCATTTTCGTTCTTTTTTTCCAACGTCCCTGCATACAGATTTTCGGGGTTTCTTCACGTGTCTAAAACCGAAATAGGAGCCAGTTTCCTCGTCGTCCTCCCGGAAGGCTTGGTTTTGGTTTTTGCTTTATTCGACAACGCCAAACATTGGAGATCTGCCGAGGGTGGGATGCTTTTCCGGAGGACTTTCTACGGGAAACTGGCTCCTATTTAGGTGTTACTAACATGAAGAGTTAAAGAAAATTCCACGTGGCCAGAGCGAATCCACGATCAGCTACCATTGTTCGGTGGTTTTATCCACTCGGCCACTGGTGGCACCAGAGTTTTGTTTAGAATAATTCTTAAACTGCTTGTAAACTATTAAAATTTTTTAATTATGAGATGTGCCTCGTGTCATGTATAGTATATTATAGCTTTGATTAAAAAGCCCTCTTAGTGCACGTAAGATGAAAACAATAATAAAAAAAAATCCAAACAGCTAGTCCGACAAGTACTGTACAAGAATCGCCTCTTTTATACATAACAGGTACAGGGATCGCTTCTTTCCTTCCAACTCCGCTTCAATTCTATCCGATACGACAAAGTCGCGCGGTGCCCTAGTTTTAAGTATACAGAAGTTACAAGAATCTGTGTTCTAACTAGTGCCAAATGGATAAAACCACTGAACACTGGTAGTAGTTGGTCGCTGGTTTGCGCCTCATCAATGGGCTGACTACGTGGAGTTTTTCAGGTTTTCTTTACGCGTCTAAGTAGACACCAGTTTCCCATGGAAAGACTTCCCGGCAGATCACTCATATGTTGAAGGGCGATCTGCCAAAGGAATTGTATTGCTTTATCCTATCAATCCAATCAATTGTGAATATTAAAACACATGTTTTTGATTTTTACTCTTTCTGCTCTGTGGACATTAAGAAATCCTTCCTCAAGCCCTCCGTGTTTTCAGCCAGGTCCACAATGGATTCAGGACGGCGAGGGACAGTGTTAAAAAAGCAAACTTATAATACAAAGCAAATCCGGGAGTGTTTGCTTTGTATGTTATTTAAAGTAAACGTTTACACAATTTCATAAATTATTGTGTCAGGTTGAAACAGATAAATGATATATACTGGTTATACATTTGAGAAATACCGTACTGTACTTTATCCACTTTAAACAAACACCAGCATGAGTCAAACTTAATTAAGAAATCATGATGATAGTTGAATAAGATATATTTACAATATATAACATTACTCAACACAATCAATTTTTATTTAACTGGAGTTAAAAACAATTTTACCATACGTTAAAAGATGGGTGGCGTATGTCGACCTCTACTAACTATAATATGGAAAGACTGGCGTTTCTATCGGAGGCATTATTTTTTGACATGTTTCGAGTTAATAATACCTCTTTGCTTTGCGATATTTATGACAAACATCAGTGGAAAAAATAATTTAAAGCCCTCATTTAGATATAATGGTTCCATTATTCCAATAAGGCTATTGCATAAAGATGCATATATTTTTAGGCCATTCCCTGTGGGGGAAATGCGTTTTCCATTGGATACCTTTTACTATGTACCAAATACTGCTTCCTGCAGGAAATTCATAGAAGATGCATTCTCAAATCAATATTCAAGTAAGTATTCTATGCTGTTTCATTTTAAAGTAGTGTAACATATTTTTCTATTTTTTAAACATTTCTTAAGATGGTCGCGCGATAAGGTGTCAACTTAACATTGTGAGGATCCGGGTTCGAATCCATTTCGTACTCTCGTGGATAGATTAATCGAAGCTTAGTTCGCTGTCACTCGTCCTTGCTGGCTGATTCTACAGCGGATCGGGTCTGTCCATATTGTGGACAACTAAGCAGCCTTAGTGTGGTGATTCGTCCCATTTACTAACTCATTTAAATAAGGCGAGGCAGAGCTTATTACTTAGTCTTCAAACTAATAAAACAACGTTTAGAGATACACAAAAAACGTTTTATTTTTCACAAAATCCTAGTTTAGTACGTTAAGAATAACGCGCTTTTATGAATTTTTTAAAATTAAATACTGTATTTAAAAACGCTGCCAAATTTTGATCACGGTATGGGGCAAAGTAGGATAATTGAATGCTTACCTAAATAATAAGAATTAAATTTTTAAACAGACTAAGCACCAACAGCCACCAACGTGAATTTTTTACTCCATTTTTTTGTTCCTCGCCTTCTCGTAGTTCCGGACCATCTGGAAAAGTAAAAGAGTACTCATTACAAACAGGCCCTAAAAGAAAACACAAACGATTGGAATAGAAGTGTTCACACTGCCTCATCTGTTAACATCCATGTTAAGCTCAAAAACTTTATAACTCCAATCTAATGGCATTAAAATAACGCTTTGGTTATATTTAAATTGTTTCAGAAGTTTAGAGTAGAAGGTACCGAATTTAAATTAATATACTTTTCTTCGCGAAAACACAAGATGAATATTAAAAACTGAATCTAAATGTTCCACGCTACGCATCACGCTAACGACTCGACGAAAATGCAGTATCACCGACAACGTGACCTTCAGAGCTTGAACACAATTCAAATAATCACCAATATATCTTGGAACTATACAGACTGTAATACGTTGGTTTGCCTCACTACCTCACATTCCTCTACCTTCTCCTAATCATTAAATATTTATAATACAGTATCCGCTTATTGTCGTTTTCGGACTAGGCCATACTGGTAACATTAAGAATGGTGTGTAAATAAGATGACAATTAATGAAAATTTTGGTTTTGGTTATGATATTATAAGGGCATGTTAAACCAACTAAAGAAAATTATATAACTTGAAAATTCGTTTATTAATAACAATAATTTCAATGTTTTTTGGCCGCATCCGAATCCTCTCTGACTCAGGACACTATTTAATAATACTAAGAACAATTCTTTGCTCCGTTCTCCTAACCAATTAGATTTTTTAGGCCCAGAAAATGCATGTAGCTATAACCAAAATTCCGGTTACAATAAGCGAATTTTTACTTATTTTAAACTACCTTATTTTAAGAGGTAAATTATTTTAAAGTACAGTACATGTTTTGAAGCTTGCTAATTCTGATAATATTAGGCGGTTTAAAACGATATCCGTGATTACAATAAAAGGAATTTACTGTATTATGAAACCATTATACAATTTCGTGTTTAGATCCGCGATTACAATAAAAGGAATTTACTGTATTATGAAACCATTATACAATTTCGTGTTTAGNTATAAGGGCATGTTAAACCAACTAAAGAAAATTATATAACTTGAAAATTCGTTTATTAATAACAATAATTTCAATGTTTTTTGGCCGCATCCGAATCCTCTCTGACTCAGGACACTATTTAATAATACTAATAACAATTCTTTGCTCCGTTCTCCTAACCAATTAGATTTTTTAGGCCCAGAAAATGCATGTAGCTATAACCAAAATTCCGGTTACAATAAGCGAATTTTTACTTATTTTAAACTACCTTATTTTAAGAGGTAAATTATTTTAAAGTACAGTACATGTTTTGAAGCTTGCTAATTCTGATAATATTAGGCGGTTTAAAACGATATCCGTGATTACAATAAAAGGAATTTACTGTATTATGAAACCATTATACAATTTCGTGTTTAGATCCGCGATTACAATAAAAGGAATTTACTGTATTATGAAACCATTATACAATTTCGTGTTTAGTTTGGGCAACGCAATACTTGGGCGATCTGCGTAGGGGAGATGCCTTCCGGGAGGTCTTTTTAACAGTAACTTGGCCCTTATTCAGGCATTACAGATGTGGGAAAAAACCCGGAAAACTCCACGTAGCCAACCCGTCCTAGCTAGGCGCGAATCCACGACCGAACTCCCAGTGTTCAGGGAAAGGCCCACCAGTGTTTGGACACTGGTGGGTCGGGTTTAGATAATTTAAAATATAGATATAAGCGATTCAATTTAATTTGAATCATTTTTCTTTCGAATTATTAGTTAAGAAACATCTCGTTAAATCGAATTGAAGAGTGTTGATAAAACGGAACTTCTGTTTAGCGGTTTTATCCACTCGCCGACTGATGGGCTCTTGCAAAGAATGCAAAAGTAGGAAAAGAAATACATTGACATTCACTATAAGAAAAATTTTCTTATCTATAAGGCATATGAATAACGTAACACGATAGGCGAGCGGTCAAGGTGGCAGTCTACTGCTCAGGCGGACCCGGGATTTGAAACCGGTTGGATCGAAAAAGCTCCGAAAATTTTTCAAGTGGTGGTCGGGCCCCGTCCCTCACCATCCGGCCGAACCCATAATGAACTTGCTAAAAGAGGCCCTCTTAGTGCTCACAGAGCGGAAAAGAGTTTTTAAAAAAATGCAACACGATAACAATTTCCCAAGAAATGATTTTTAACACCTGCTGACCTCTGGGAACTAAGAGGGCCTTTTAAATCATACCTATCGTGGGTTCCACCAGGCCCTCAGTTTGGGTGATCAAGTGGCGGGATCCTAGGACAAACTACCCAAGAAAAATTTATGAGGTTGCTCTCACGAATTCCCAGAGCAACAGAACAAGGCTTTAATTAACGCTTGTTTGCCGGTATTTTGATAAACATTAGGTTAAAAAAGTTCCTGAGCTCTTTCGACCCGTCCGATTCTATCTCGGGTCCCCTAGGCTGCCATCTTGACCGATATTTCCTTGCCGAGAATCAAACGTGGGCTTTGTGGATGAAAACAAGATATCCTAACTACTAGACCACATGGGACACACGAAACGGATCACGAATTCCGAGATTTTATTACTTTGATAGAATTAGTTTTTTTGTTTTCCGGGGTCTACAGCTTCTGTAGAAAAATATTTTCACTCATGAAAATCTCACCTTGTGGTTAAAAGAAAAGTCGAAATGAAATATTCAAGCCATAAAATTAATGCTAATTATAAAGCAAAATTGCGACTTATTAAACAATGTGATAAGTTTTATGATAAAATTGTGGGTGACAACAACTTGCAAAAGGTCAATCAAGTAAAAACAATACAATAACTAAGGTTATCGTAATTTTTATGTAATATTATAATTGTTATTAATGTCTTCTGTTGATATCATGCTTAAATTTTTATATAATAGATATTTCTAATGAGTTTCTAAAATTATGCATGCCTTATATAATGCCAATGTGGCATTAATAGTCTGTGTAAGAAGAGGATGGTTGAGAGCTCTGGGTTTGCTTCATTGTGGTAACTGTGTTCTAGACTTCTAGTCCTTATGGCGAGGATTACTTATTCTTCTGCAGTGAATTCCGATTGCAGCTGCTATATCAGGGCATTTAGTCATACAAATATATGTTTGAAATTTAGGCAAAGTGTACTTTGTGATGGGATCACTGGAAGTAATACCATTTTAAATTTGGGTTGAATAAGTTTGCGATGTGATCTTCCACAGAGTCCATATCAATATAGGCACATCTTGATTAAACTGATACATTTGAGGGTTTGACGACGTGAACATTACTCTTGAATCTGTGAATATTAAAATTTTTTATTTAAGTAAACAATTAAGGATGATATCAGGAAGTAAACAATTGAAAAGTAGGAATGGAAGATCTTAATCTTGTAGAAAGCAAAAGATGGTGAAGATTGTTTAGAATGTCCTAACTACTTTGTGTGAAAGCAACATTCCTGACCAAACTAATCTGATAAAAGTAATCTTCCTGAAAGTAGCCTTAACATTTCAAATAGTTGTAACAATGGCCCACTGCTTATATATTGTTATTTGATAAATGATCATTCTCTTTTTCTAGTTTCAGCTAATTCACTTCTATCGGCATAAATACACTTTTGCCTATTTTAATTTGTATGTTTTAATGATCTGATTGATTTTTGTACTCTGATGCAATAAGAAGCATCTGTCCTCTTCTCATTGAATTTGAATTCCTAAATAGTATGTGATGTCTCATAGATCTTTGATTTCAAAACTTTGAGTAAGTATTATTCTGAGAGGTACAATTAATCTTTTATTAACAAGAGCAACTATTAAATCATCAATGTATGCCAAAATATACATCTAATGTTTATTCTCAAACTTACAATATAAACATAGACCAGCTTGACTTTGTTTACAACCTTGCTTCAATAATAACTCATTTATTTTCTTGTTCCTAAATCTGGTTGATCGCATAGTATATATAATGATTGATTAAACCTGCACACAAGATGTTTTCCTGGTATGATGTATCCTTTAGGTTGTGACTTACATATTTCCTCTTTGATGTCACTATTAAAGAATGCAGTCTTTGCATCAAAATGCTTGATTTTAATTTTCTGTTTAACAGATATATATAAAAAGCTCTTAAAAGTACTTTGTTTTATGACTGGAGCATATGTTATATTACAATTGCTGTATTCCTTAGAAACTAATTGTGCTTTGTATAAAGAGACATCACTTTCCTCTTCATACTTAACCTCAAATACCCATTTACAACTTATTGAGTTTCTACCTGTAGGCAATTTAGTAATTCTATAATAATAATAATTCTATTATTCTGCAATTTAGTAAATTCCAATGTCTGATATTTGTCAAAGCATTCTGTTTCTCTGCAGTTTTGATCTATCTTTGCAACTGGTGAATACGTATTCTATCTAAACGATGTCATGTTTCTGATTTCTGATTTGAAACTCGGTTTCAATTTTGCACACACAAACTGGGCCCATAACCTGTTTGTTTCTGATGCAAGAATAAATACAATTCAGCTACACTGAGTAAAGTGCTTTTGTTAAGTTGTCAAAGGTAAAATTGACAGTACTACACTGTCCTAGCAGACAATAAATGGGAAAATGAAAAAGAAATTGGAGCTCCCTCTCTCCAAGCAAGTATCGCTTTAATTAATTATAAATATTTTTCAGAATATTTCCAATAGAAACCAATTTTAAACTTGAAATCATGTTTTAATTTAATTTAAATAACTATACTTGAATTCTGTTTCTTGCATATTGTAAACTTGTATATTTTTTTTATAATCTACATTATGCACAGTACTGAATAAACTTATTTATTTTTAAAACACATTTTTATTTTCTTTTTTTAATTCCTTTCGCAGACTATAAAGGATTCAAAACTGAAGATGATTTAGAAAAATATCTTCGCCAAAAGTCAATATTACACAGTAATAGTATAGAAGCAGTTATATTCTCTGAATGGAATCCAAATTCAACAGTATTGAAATATAAACTGAGAACCTGTTGTGTAAAGTTTGAAACAAGTAAACTTTATAGGACTTTAGACGAAGTTCATTATACAGGTTAGAAGAATTTTTTTTAAATTTTAATTTTATAATATATATTTAACAAATTGTTATAATATAATATAAAACAATACAGTGGAACCTCGGTATACGACCTTAATCCGTTCCCGATGTTTGGACTTATACCGAATTGGACGTATACCAAACCAATTTTTCCTATAAGAAGTAATGTAAAAATGATTAATCCGTTCTCTTGTAAAAATATGGCTGGCTTTAAACACCTTGCTTTCCTGGCTAGTTCCTGCTTGATTTTTCGTGAGATCAGCGTGTATCTTTTTAGCTTTCTTGCAAATAATTGCTTCCGATACGCTGTCTCCAGCACTGTTTTAAGTTATCCAAAGCAAAAGCGATTTCTCGACATGATCTAATGTCTTTGATCTCTGTTTAGAAATTGATTTAACCCCTTTCGCAATGTTAGCAGATTTAATAATGTCTTTATTTCTCGCGATTGTCCATATCGTCGTTCTCGGAATACAGTAGGCAACAGTTAAAATCTCGAACACGCGTGCCATCTTCGTATTTCTCAACAATCTCTTATCAATTCCATTGTAATTCTAGTCATTTTTTAGTTTTCTGTCACTTTTCATTTGCCTTTTTGCGATTCGTGATTAATAAAAATAATAAAATTTTACTTACGAATTAAAATCAGAAGAAATTTAACAAAGTTATAAACCGTTGCATCGTGAACATCTAGTCTGGTCTAGTACACCGATAGTGCTACTTGTTCATTGATGGCGCGTATAATTGAATTATGTCGTATACCGAACAAAAGTCGTATACCGAGCAAAATTTGTTTCGTCCAAACAGGATGTATTCCGAATTGGACATATTCTAAAGCAGACGTATACCGAGGTACCACTGTATTTTGTAATTTAATTGCTGTATTCCTTAGAAACTAATTGTTGTTTCTAACTTGTCTAAACTAAGTTGTTTTTAAAATTGTGCTAGTAATCTGGTAATTTAACAATAAGAAAATAAGTACTACTTAGCTGGTATAAAAAAACTTACAATTTTGTGTTTATAATAAATTATAAGTTATAATTCTTTTATTTATAATTCAAGTGAGTAAAATGTATTAACACCTTGACCATCCCAATAATTGCACACTATAGGCAAACATTACTTATGTATGTACAAGTATCATATTTGTTATTCATCATCCCCACACAGGACAACTATGAGTTGCTGCTGATAAGAATCCTCCATTGTTCATACAACTGTTTGCTCCATAAGTGGAATTAAGACTAAGATTCCAATTACTTTTGTGATGCTCTTTAAACTATAGAACATATCTTGTAAAAGATTGAGATTGTCCTATTCAGAGTTCCAAGAAATATTAGAAGACCCCCATAATATGACGGAAAAAGCAAAACTGCCTAGGCAACCGTAAAATTTGTATATAGTCTGTTTACTTTATACTTAGTTGGGCTGCAGTTTATTGCAGACTCATAGAGTCCCACTATTGTCTGTCTGTCTGTCCTTTGTTAATCTCGAGAACAGAGTTAGATAACTGAAAATTGAGACCAGAGGTCTAGGGACCAGAGGCTCTGACTAACTATGTATGAACTTCTGGTCTAGACCAGAAGTCATGTGATTTCAATTCAAAAATTTCTTGAGACTGGAGTTAAATGACTGGCATGACTTGATCATTATGACAAGAAGTATGGTGCACAGGGGCAAGACACTACTAAAATCAAGATCAGATATGGATAGGTTAAGGGTCAGCAAACTTCCAGTCTGGACTGGAAGTCATATGATCTTTTTTAAATTAAACAAGTAAACAGCGAAGCCAGTTTTGGGATGAGACTATGTCTCGGAGAGCACAAGAAATGCATGCGCAAACCTCGCATTTGCACCTGTTTGTAGAAACAGTCTCAGTACTTTGTATTTTCTTTTGATCGCAGAGTATTTGGTCCCTTGACTACCTACAAGTCTGGTTTATTTTATGTGCACATGATTTGGGCACCAAATACTCTGTGCCAAATTGCAACACCTGACATGTACTCCTTCATACCTCTAAGATGTGCAGTTGTTGACAGCAGTGCAATTTTAGAGATGATTAAAAATTGCAGCCCACATTGTGATGAATGTCACAATAAATAGTTGCTTGTTTGTATTTAATTTTGTTTTAACTCCTTTTATGCACTTTGTATGTAATCTGTTCTTCTTTACTTTTCTTTCCATTATCTATTAAATTATCCATATGAGTAAACAAAAAATAATCATATGCTTGCAAAATAAAAACATGATAATTTAAAAATATTATTTTAAAGCTAGTTAATGCAATAAAATATAAATAAAAAAATTGATGAAGCAGATAATCTAATGTGCCTGTTCTTGACACCCATGTGAATTCACATTCATATCACACTTTTAGTCAGCTTTGTGCAAAAATGTCATTTACTGATCACTCTTATTAAATTATAGCATAAAAATTTTAAATTATTGTTATGAAAAAAGATATTTAAACTTTTTAATAAACATACTTGAATGATTATTTTTTTGTTTTTTCAGATAGTATAGATGAGCGTTATAGATACTACTTTTCACCTTATTCACTTAGTACAAATTTTATTGATATACAGAAAAATATTGACTTGATGTTTGTGAAATTACATGCAAACACCATTCAGAAAAAGGAAATACTTGAAAATCTTCAGGTAAAATTAAATTTTTAAAATTTATTGAAAATTAATTTATATATATCAAATTTAAATTATATGTATTATTAAATATTATTTATAAATTGTTGAATTTATATGACATGGTCTTGAAATCTAAAATATCCAAATTTGTATGAGGCCTTGTTGTAAGAGGGAATTCATTTTGCCACATGTGCAAAATATCCATGTCATGTGGTAGCCACTTTTTAACAACTTATTCTACACTCTTCTTAGATATTCCATAAAGTCTATTTTATTCTGACTTTTTCTGTATTAAAATGCCAAAGAATTAAGCTACTCGTATGTTTACATAGTTGATGACCACAAAGAAGAGGCATGGCTGGAAAAATATTGCAAATTGAGCCAATTAATTTTGAACTGTGCTGTTAACTTCCAATTTAACCAAATAGCTTACAATTAGATGAAATAAAAGCATTAGGATCTGAAGGGACAAGATAATATTTTACTATCCACCCTCTTCAAATTGGGGTCGTAGGCTTTCTCCATTGTATGTGCGTTTGATTTCTATTGAAGTGTATTATATCAAATAACCAGTGTACTTGAAATAAGACGTATACCGAGGTACCACTGTATTTTGTAATTTTTCATTTTTTATGATTAAATTAATGAAAAGTTAATTTATATAAAGAGTTTACTTCTTAGAATCATTTACTACTTTATATTTTAAAAAATATAAGAAATAATAAATTAAATTATTATCTTTTGATAGTTACTAGCTATTTTAAGAATTTAATTTTAATAATTGAAATATTTAATATATTTCTAATATATTTTTTAAACAGTGATTTACAGCAGGTAAATACAAATATCAATAACAAACTATCATAATGCACATTGAAACAGGACTTCACATTTCTGGGATGAAATTTTGGATTTTATAAAATAACTGTTCTATGAATATGTTAAATAAACAAAAAACTGATTCTTTTTATAGTGGAACCTCGCTTAATGAACACCTCTCCTAACAAGTAATTTGCATAACAAGCAAAACAAATTGTAAAAAAGTGACTTGCTTAATGAGCGATGTTTCACATAACAAGTGATGAGGAGAGGGAAAGTCTTGGATTGTGCGCATGCTACATGCGCTTGTTCCATTAGCATTTTAGTGTTGCTTGTGATCACACATTTTTCTGAACTTGTGTTCACATATAAACATTAACAACCATAGCTGGTTATATAATAAACATGACAAATGATATGCCAAATTCTTGAGCTAAGGAAAGGCTATAATTAAATATTAGAAATTAATGTATTTTGATTTTTTTTTCATTTTCTGCAAATTGAATTCACATTCCAGGTTGGTTCATTCTGTACTAGAAGAGAACATAAAGATTATCACTCTCCTTAACAATGTATATTATATAATTTTCTTTAAATAATCATTATACATAAAATATTTGAGTTTTTTTTTTTTTTTTGCGTAGAATGCATTATCATATTTTACATTAATTTATATGGAAAAAATTGTTTCGCTTAATGAATGTTTCACATTATGAATAATATTCTGGAATGAATTGTGCTTATTAAGCGAGGTTCCACTGTAATTTCAATTAATGTAAAAAAATCTGTTTTATTACAGCAAATTACAATATAATTTTATAATGTAGTTTCAAAACATTTTGGACTTTATTGTAATTTATTCTATTAAAACAGTTTTTTAAGTAAGTTAAATATCAGTTGTAGCAGAAACACCAATCTGTCAGAAACTGCATTAATGAAATTTACTTATGTTTGTTTTTATAAATTCAAAATTATGTAGATAGTGTCATTAATTTTACCTGTTTATCTACTGTAAATTCTTGATACAGTATACTGTAATCTTTTAGTACATATATTTATTTTATTATCCTTATTATTATTTTACTTTATTGCTCTTTCTTCTCTCTCTGTAATTTTTGGTGTAACAATAAGACATAATTTAATAATAATATGCCATTTTTGGGCATGTATATTCTAACTCCATGGGAAGGAGTTGGTAATGGTAAGCAGGAGTTGTGGATTTGAGTCCCTCTCTAGGCCAATTCTTTTCTTCCAGAATATTCTAAAAAAGATTATTTAATTCAATTATAATTATTAAATTTAATAAGATATGTCACCTAATACCTCCCTCTATTACAAATTATTTAGAAATTAATAAAATTTAAACATGGATAAATAGCCTGATGGAATCCAGTAGTAGTTCGGCATTATCACACATTATTTCACCTGCATTTATTTCATTTTGCAAATGTATTTAGACATTTTAAATATCCATCTTCAGACATAGAGATCTTTTCAAATAGCAGATACAAATTTGTAGAATGGAAGTTAGAACACATATTTCATACAACCAAAAATTTGATTTACAAAAGAATGTTCCAAGTTTTGAAAAGAACATAATTTTTAAAATTAATTTAAAACATTCATTTTAAACAGAATTTAAAATATGAATAATTCAAATTTAAATAAAACAGACAAACCAATCATGAAACTCAATGTACTTTTAAATATCTTGAATATACCCATGACTTTATATTGGGATTTCCAGGCTTTGGGAATATCCTCCTTTTCTTTGAAATTTGTCTTGTTTGCCAGACTTATAAGTCTCTATATATTCCAATGTCCATAAGTCCTCAATCTTATGTACTGGGTGGAGAGGGTAGAGATAGTATGGGAGAAAGGATTTTACCCTTCTCCCATATTTTATCCATCACCACGATTTTTTTAGAATATTCTGGAAGAAAAGAATTAACCTAGAGAGAGACTCAAATCCACAACTCCTGCTTACCATTCCAATCCATATATCACTAATGCTGATGTACAGATTGGAACTAGGCTGTATGGATGTACATAAAACAAAATATATTTTTCTATTGTGTATACATTTTCTTTAACTTTCATATTCAACTTTCTGGTTGTTGAGCCTATGTTGATATCTCTTATCTTTCATCTTGAACTGGTATGTTATAAATACTCAGTTTTTCTAAAGTTTTCACTGCTTTCTTGTTGTTTTGAATTAGTTGGAAGACTAAGGGTATTCTCTCTATTGCAAACCTGTCACATCCACTATTTATTTATGTAAATTCTTAAGTTGCCTGTTATATATAGCTATTCTTATTGTGTCTTTCTTATATACTTCTTTCCTGTTATATTCTCATAAACTTTTATTAACCCTTCTAGCTTCTTTCTTTCATATCCATGTTTGGCTGCCAATGTATTTGATGTAGTACTTTAATTCCCTCTTTGTTTCTAACCAACGGGAGTAATGTGTGGGTGCCTTTCTAACTTTGAAAGATGACAGTTTGTAATTGAATGGGTTGCCTGAAATCATTGGATTATAAATTGCAAAAATAAAATAAGTGCTGGAGAAATAATATATGATAATTGTAGCATTTTAAAAGACATACAGTCGATTTTTAAGAATTTCTCAGTTCATTCCATCAATCCCACTAATGTTTTCTTTCTGTAATTTCTAGCCTTTAGAAAAATTTCCTTTACAATTCTCACAACTCTGTCAGCCATTTCATTGTTCTTTGGATATCTAGGACTTTAAAATGTATTGACCAAATTCTAAATCAAAATAACTGAAACAAAATGAAAAATAATATAACTAACTAAATATAAATCTAAATCAAAACTTCTCTTTTGTAACCTCACAAATGAAGACATCATTGAATCCATGGATGAGATCTACAAGTATGTTGGATAACAGTAAGCTAAACTCACAGAACATGTACAAATAAAACAGAGACTAGCAAACAGCATCAATATAAGCTGTAATCATGGTAAATAAGGCAGAAAGTCATAAACATATGAAGGGTACCAATAAAACATTATTACATAAAAAAAGTTTGTGAAAATATTATAAAATTATCACACAAATGTTTGTGAACTTATTGCAGGTGCTGATAAGTCTATATTTATTTCTTTATTATTACTGTCATAATATATTTAATCTGCCATTGCAGACAGACACTAATTTCTATTTTTCAGGAAGGCACTATATAGATTCATACTATCCCAGCTAACAAAGGAATACAACAACAGATTAAACTCAATTCAGAACACAAATTTAAAGCAATAATCATCCCTAGTGCTAACATATTCATTTGGAATTATAAATTAGACACACACAATTAGAACAACTCTAAAGGAAAACATGAGCATTTAACAAAACATAATAAACACCACTCTAAGTTCTCTGTAGAAAAGCTGACTCTTCCTCAAAGAGAGTGGACAAGGTCTCACAGATGTAAATCTTCGCTTCAAACAAGTACAGACACTATGAGCATTTATCTAAAGAAAGCAAGAAATATCACAATTAGACAAAGCTGTAACTCTTGCAGACAAAAAGACAATATATTATTAAAACTATACAACACTGACCAAATCTAACATAGTACGTAAAAGAAAAAAAAAAAAAATACAGACAACTTGGTTCTGGAAAGAGCTCCATAGTAGTGTGAGAATAAAAGGAATGAACAAGTCGACACAGAGAAGAAATTTGATGATTTTTTCAATGGGCCAACATGATAACAAGTGCACCTAATGTAGCAGACACTTATTCAGGAAAATTCACTGATCTCAGTAGGATCAAGACAAAGACAAAACCCCAGGAAAATTTAATTTGCCCAAGAACATACAGTGCTTCCAGTGAAACTTACATTGATGTGTTCTTCTTACTTAACTTTACACTGGATGTAAGACAGTTTGAAACAGAATCCTCACCTTGACCTTGTTGTACAGCCTTTTCCTTGAGTGACTTCATGACTCTTATATCACGTACCTTCACACACCACTATTCACCAATCACCCAGTTCGCTCTCCTTTCTTCTTTTTTCATCTTCGTCTCATGGCCGAGCTGCCCCAGAATAATCTCCCACCTCAATTACACTCCCTTTTTAAACATGCATAACCTTGAACCCCGACACATCTCGGGTTTTACCTAGAGGCATGCCACCCAGCCAGACCTACCAACATGATGGCGAAGGGAGGCAGAAAAGACATAAGGCACAGAAGGAACCCTAATAATAATTTTGTTTATGATAACATGATAACATATTATGCATCAATGTGTCATCTTAAATTTGAAAACAATTCAGCAACTCAATGTGTCCATTTGTATATTATTATTTTGCCATTTTATTACAATTTAACTGAAATATCTATGCAAGTTATGTGAAAATCACAAGATTATATTATATTCTTTTCAACACAGAGAAGATTATACTACATTCTTTTACTAATTTCATTAATTTAAAATTAAACATAGGAGACTAATTTACATCTGATGTCTTCTTTGGATATAGTCTAATAACTTTTATTTAAATTTAAATTTTTGCAGCAATGAATGATTTTCAAAACTTTTTTATACTTTTAGTATAAATTAGCGAATTTGTAATTAAGATATCCTGTCATATATTATAAATATTTAATGTATCTATTTGTTGATTCTATGTTTTAGATTACTTTTTTTTAATTAAATCTGTAAAATCAAAACAACAAACAACTGTACAAACAAACACTTATAGATCTATAACCTGCAAATCTGTTCTATGTTGTCGGGTTGGTTATCGATCAACTGGTCCACCCCTTGTGTGTGTTCTGAATGTATACGATGATAACGTTGTATCAGCTTTGTGGTAACCGTGCGCTGTGGCTACACGTTCTATAGATGCTAGTTCAGTATCACGAGCCTGGGTGTTGGAAGAATGTGTAAAGACTCTATTGATTAAGTAAGGCCTTATAGGTTGCAATCTTGTACGAAACCGGATTGCACGACCCTACCAGTATGTATGCTGACATAGACCCTGGCTTATGATACACCGACATGGATGTCCAAACCTTCCATTCTAATATTTATATCTAGGAAGTGCACTTTGGTAGGGTGGATTGTTCTATTTCCAGGGTCAACCTGTAGGGATTATTGTTAAAAGAAGCGACAAAGGCCGTTAGCTCTGGTACCATCTTCCAAAAAATAATGATATTGTCAATATATCTTCTATATAACAGGATGTTGTGGAGGAAGGGGGAAGGATCTCATTCTCCAATTGTCAACCACCATTTCCCAAAGGCCCCTGAAACAGGTCCTTTGTGAAATGGAAACCTTTTAATCTCTAAGTCAATAAAATTCTAATTTTATTGGCTAAGACATTAAAAGGTCATATTAAACAATAAAAAATAAATAACTTAAAAATATTAATTATAATTACTATTATCAGTGCTTTTTTTGGAAAAAAAAATGCGGTGGAACGCTCATCTCATTACTAAAAATATATTACATGCATCATACACAAGATTCAGCACACAAGCAGGAGCAGGACTGCCTTAATGTCAATAATTTTGTTGCCTATCTTCTATGCTCAACAGAGCGATTCAACGCAGACCAAACATAAAGTTTTCAAAAATTCTCTTAACTTTTAAAATACAGTATATCGAAAAAAGGTAGTGGAATGCCGTTCCATTGCGTTTTATGACAAAAAAAGCGCTGACTATTATTAATTAATTACATTATGGAATTTTAATTAGTTACTTAAAAATAGTATTAACAGTATTTTAAGCTTAAAAGTACTGTATTATATTTAATTGCAATATGCACTGTTTTTTATATAATGTCATGATCTATAGGTATTATCATGATTATTGAAGGTGTATACTGTATGTGTTATTATTAATTTGTCTTGTTTTGTTGGAATCTGTAAAATGGTTATAAAATATCTGTTAAAATAAAATATAATCATCAAATAAAGTAGTAATCAAACAACAAAGTAATAATAATAACATAATTGAAACGTCATTCTAATCTTGAAATGATCCAGTTATACAACTATAATATATTAGTGTTTTTAATTACTGTATAACTGTAATAATTCTGACATAATATTTTATATTTCTTAATTTAGAGATAATTTAATAAAATTATTATTAAACTATTTTGTATACAGAGTATCATTTATTCTATGACATTTTTATTGCAGTTCTTACTACAGTCTATGCCATATCCATCTTACGATAATGTAATTATATACTTTAGCAATTTTCGACTCATTCCATTTGGTATGGTTATTAGTTTTTTGTTAATATTTCCAATGATTGCAAAAAGAATTGTCGAAGAAAAATGTACTAGAATGAAGGTATTGTTAATATATTTGTTTATTTATATAAAAATATTTTTTTAACTTCATAATTTATGTACAGTACTTTTATGTTCAAGTTAAATTATGTAAATTTAATTAATTATTTGAAATTAATTTTTACAGAAATAATTTTTGTGAGATATCATTTCAGTAAATACATCTATATCATCAAATATTAAAGAATTCCATTAGTTAGGCAGATTGATAGTTCTTAATTTTTCTATTGTGCAAATAAAAAGTTATACAGTAGAGCCTCGAAAACTCGGCCTAATGGGGACCGAAGGGTGGCCGAGTTTGTGAAAATGCCGGGTTATCGGAAATGGGGTTAAAAAAGGATAAGTATGCGTGTTTCCTCAGAAAATATTGTACTGTACTTGTATGTATTGTTTGCTCGAGAATACAACAGAGAATAAACTACCCAAATACCCTTAAACAAAGGAAAAGTACGTCCTTTATGAAGGCATAGAGCCTTTACTACATGAAAATGAAAATTAATGAATACACTGTGTACAGTAATTTACCTGATAAGACAGACCTCAGAAAAATACTTTATGAGGCATAAAGCTGTCTATGATGAAAATTAATTATTTAAGGGTATTTTTGCCCTGCCAGGGTGTGGCCGAGTTATCCGGAGTGCCGGGTTATCGAGTGCTGAGTTTTTGAGGCTCTACTGTAATTAAAAATAAATAAATAAATCTAAAAATTTTCTATTTTAAAGTTTTAGTACAAAAGTTTAAAATTAATAACATTAATAAAACTGGAAAAATTTACTTAAAAGTAGGGATTCAAACCACAAGAAAATATACTACAGTTCCTGTGTATGGATCCATTTAGAGTTGCTATTCTGGTTTCTTTTTTGGTTTGCTTTATCTGATCAGTAAGAACCAGTAACTGGTTCAATAAGTAGAGGTTTGGTTTGGGGTTTGATTATCATGTCAGTTAATGAAAATTTTCAGTTACAAAATCTAAATTATAAATTAATGACATTAATTAGTAATAAATCTCGATAATAAAGTGCAAATTTAAAATAATTACGTTATTGTTACTAGAGATTCTAACAAAGTATTTATAAAATAAAACGTCTAACCAAATATTTATTAAAAAACATAAAATTGTTGTTATAAGTACAAATTATACGTGAATGGCTTGAACAAAATACATATGTGATATACACTTGGCCTCTTTCCATTTTAAAACGTAAAGTATATAAATATTTATATTGAAGCTATAAAATTTTTCATTTTCTGTCATTTCACAAACACCAGTGACAGTTCAAAACAATTTTTTCTTATAGAGGTGTGCTTTAATAAAAACTTGTGTCTGTAAGGGGAAATTGTTTGGACTGTTTGAGACTATGTCTCTGCAAAAAAATACAAAATGGATTAAAATGTCCTCTGGAAATTGTCAAAACACTAATTCACAATACAATTTATTAAAATTAAAAATATGACCAATGGTATTTATAGTCATCTCCATAAGTGAAAATTGTCACTGGTGTTTGTGTGTAGTGCTCCTCAATATATATAATATATTTTTTTAATTTTATTGGCTAAGACATTAAAAGGTCATATTAAACAATAAAAAATAAATAACTTAAAAATATTAATTATAATTACTATTATCAGTGCTTTTTTTGGAAAAAAAAATGCGGTGGAACGCTCATCTCATTACTAAAAATATATTACATGCATCATACACAAGATTCAGCACACAAGCAGGAGCAGGACTGCCTTAATGTCAATAATTTTGTTGCCTATCTTCTATGCTCAACAGAGCGATTCAACGCAGACCAAACATAAAGTTTTCAAAAATTCTCTTAACTTTTAAAATACAGTATATCGAAAAAAGGTAGTGGAATGCCGTTCCATTGCGTTTTATGACAAAAAAAGCGCTGACTATTATTAATTAATTACATTATGGAATTTTAATTAGTTACTTAAAAATAGTATTAACAGTATTTTAAGCTTAAAAGTACTGTATTATATTTAATTGCAATATGCACTGTTTTTTATATAATGTCATGATCTATAGGTATTATCATGATTATTGAAGGTGTATACTGTATGTGTTATTATTAATTTGTCTTGTTTTGTTGGAATCTGTAAAATGGTTATAAAATATCTGTTAAAATAAAATATAATCATCAAATAAAGTAGTAATCAAACAACAAAGTAATAATAATAACATAATTGAAACGTCATTCTAATCTTGAAATGATCCAGTTATACAACTATAATATATTAGTGTTTTTAATTACTGTATAACTGTAATAATTCTGACATAATATTTTATATTTCTTAATTTAGAGATAATTTAATAAAATTATTATTAAACTATTTTGTATACAGAGTATCATTTATTCTATGACATTTTTATTGCAGTTCTTACTACAGTCTATGCCATATCCATCTTACGATAATGTAATTATATACTTTAGCAATTTTCGACTCATTCCATTTGGTATGGTTATTAGTTTTTTGTTAATATTTCCAATGATTGCAAAAAGAATTGTCGAAGAAAAATGTACTAGAATGAAGGTATTGTTAATATATTTGTTTATTTATATAAAAATATTTTTTTAACTTCATAATTTATGTACAGTACTTTTATGTTCAAGTTAAATTATGTAAATTTAATTAATTATTTGAAATTAATTTTTACAGAAATAATTTTTGTGAGATATCATTTCAGTAAATACATCTATATCATCAAATATTAAAGAATTCCATTAGTTAGGCAGATTGATAGTTCTTAATTTTTCTATTGTGCAAATAAAAAGTTATACAGTAGAGCCTCGAAAACTCGGCCTAATGGGGACCGAAGGGTGGCCGAGTTTGTGAAAATGCCGGGTTATCGGAAATGGGGTTAAAAAAGGATAAGTATGCGTGTTTCCTCAGAAAATATTGTACTGTACTTGTATGTATTGTTTGCTCGAGAATACAACAGAGAATAAACTACCCAAATACCCTTAAACAAAGGAAAAGTACGTCCTTTATGAAGGCATAGAACCTTTACTACATGAAAATGAAAATTAATGAATACACTGTGTACAGTAATTTACCTGATAAGACAGACCTCAGAAAAATACTTTATGAGAGATAAAGCTGTCTATGATGAAAATTAATTATTTAAGGGTATTTTTGCCCTGCCAGGGTGTGGCCGAGTTATCCGGAGTGCCGGGTTATCGAGTGCTGAGTTTTTGAGGCTCTACTGTAATTAAAAATAAATAAATAAATCTAAAAATTTTCTATTTTAAAGTTTTAGTACAAAAGTTTAAAATTAATAACATTAATAAAACTGGAAAAATTTACTTAAAAGTAGGGATTCAAACCACAAGAAAATATACTACAGTTCCTGTGTATGGATCCATTTAGAGTTGCTATTCTGGTTTCTTTTTTGGTTTGCTTTATCTGATCAGTAAGAACCAGTAACTGGTTCAATAAGTAGAGGTTTGGTTTGGGGTTTGATTATCATGTCAGTTAATGAAAATTTTCAGTTACAAAATCTAAATTATAAATTAATGACATTAATTAGTAATAAATCTCGATAATAAAGTGCAAATTTAAAATAATTACGTTATTGTTACTAGAGATTCTAACAAAGTATTTATAAAATAAAACGTCTAACCAAATATTTATTAAAAAACATAAAATTGTTGTTATAAGTACAAATTATACGTGAATGGCTTGAACAAAATACATATGTGATATACACTTGGCCTCTTTCCATTTTAAAACGTAAAGTATATAAATATTTATATTGAAGCTATAAAATTTTTCATTTTCTGTCATTTCACAAACACCAGTGACAGTTCAAAACAATTTTTTCTTATAGAGGTGTGCTTTAATAAAAACTTGTGTCTGTAAGGGGAAATTGTTTGGACTGTTTGAGACTATGTCTCTGCAAAAAAATACAAAATGGATTAAAATGTCCTCTGGAAATTGTCAAAACACTAATTCACAATACAATTTATTAAAATTAAAAATATGACCAATGGTATTTATAGTCATCTCCATAAGTGAAAATTGTCACTGGTGTTTGTGTGTAGTGCTCCTCAATATATATAATATATTTTTTTTCTTTTTTCCCTCTATTCCTTCATTTATTCTGTGCTATCACCTTTTTAACGGCCTATATGAAGTTGGCATCTAAATTAGTATCAGACTGGTGATGCCTATGTCAGGATCGGTGATGGTGATTCGTTTATTCACACGTGAGCAATTGGATTCGAGAGTTGGACATCCTGAGAGATAATGAGGCTAAAAGAAGTGCACACTACAACTTAATTAAAAATCCCATTTATTTTTGTATATAATTAAATTCATATACATAAGATAACATTATAACAACGGTATTCAAACATTTTAACAGTGCGACTCCGCACGGGTCATTGAGGTAACATGATGACCTAAAATTAAAATAATCAATAATCTAGTTCTAATTGTTCAAAAACTAGGACTGGGTAATATTAAAAATCAGGAAGATGTTAATTTATTTTTTTTATTTCATACAAAACAAACATTAGTATCAAAACAATTATAATAAACTGAAAACAACTCTGTAGTTACCAAATATTAGATTGAAAAGTTGATCAGCATTATTCATTTATAACTTTTAAAATTAAAATATGACATATAATATGTAGGAACTTAAAAGAAATTCAGTTTAAAAAAAATACAAAAGGAAAATATTTAATGAGACCTATGAGCCTGTTTCTTGTTTACAAGTAGTGATATTTCTGGTTCTATTTTGCTCAATTTGACAAACTTTTTTGAGAAAAATATTAGTTCCTAAATTGTGAAATTTTATTAAATTCTAGACAGATTACTATAGATACTAATCTTAATGAGCAAATAAATCATAATGAATGAGACCTTATTCGATCAAAGAAATAAGTATGAAATTGATATATATCAGACAGAAATATTAAATTATTTAATGTTTTAAATCTGATAGTTTAGTTTTTGATTTGTTTCATTATGAAAATGAAAGTTTACCCATGTATGAAAGGATTACATTAAAATTAGCACTAGTTGTGCCAGAGTGTATCAGGGTTTTTTGTGAGATATCATTTCAGTAAATACATCTATATCATCAAATATTAAAGAATTCCATTAGTTAGGCAGATTGATAGTTCTTAATTTTTCTATTGTGCAAATAAAAAGTTATACAGTAGAGCCTCGAAAACTCGGCCTAATGGGGACCGAAGGGTGGCCGAGTTTGTGAAAATGCCGGGTTATCGGAAATGGGGTTAAAAAAGGATAAGTATGCGTGTTTCCTCAGAAAATATTGTACTGTACTTGTATGTATTGTTTGCTTGAGAATACAACAGAGAATAAACTGCCCAAATACCCTTAAACAAAGGAAAAGTACGTCCTTTATGAAGGCATAGAGCCTTTACTACATGAAAATGAAAATTAATGAATACACTGTGTACAGTAATTTACCTGATAAGACAGACCTCAGAAAAATACTTT